AAAAATACAATATCAATTTGCGTAAAAACAATTAAAACGATCAAAATACATCGATGGCAGTTTCAAAGGACGCCAAGTGGTTCACAAAAGTCGGGAGATTTTTTATACATATAGTGTTCTTTGTTGGATTCTGCTTCTCGACCACCGCATTGATGGACACTTGCTCTGAAATGCTCCTTATCTTAGTCCGAACTTTTCATTTGCCTCTTTACAATTTATGCTAGAACCTTTGTCCTTGCATTCAACTATTTTGTGTCCATGCTGGTTGCAGTTGGTGCAAGTTTCTTCCGAAGCGCAATTTCTTGTCATGTTCTTGTTGACGTATGCCTGTTTAGGCAGAGGAGTTGCGATTGTTCACGTTTTTCAGTGGCGCCATCTATGGCCAAGAATTTGACTTCTGCCACACCATACGTCTCACACGTTTATAGGGCGGACCCATTCCTACACCCACAGATCGTAATTTTGACCTGAATCAGATAACGATCGATCTCCAATCCAGTACCCCAAGAGGTTTTGATTGTTATGGGAACATGGAGGACTTTTGCGACTCGACAGATTTAACGCGCATCAGTCACTTTACTCAGTCTTCGCCAGGCGGGGTTCGAACCCTTGAACAAGGGCCTAGCGCCCTACCGACCAGGCTATTCCGGCTTTTCTTGTCATGCGGCCCTATCTATTACTCTTATAATACCGCAGTGGTCTCAAGTATTCTTTCAGGTTTTCCAACCTAAGTTTAATTTGGATCTTTTCATGATTCTTGATAATACTTCAGGTTCCAATTCTAGTACCCAATGAAACCCTACGCGAGTGTTAATTGGAAAAGGTATCTAAACTCAGCATTCATGGTTTCTTTCCCTCAATTGCACCTTCAGTTCTTCTTTATCAATAGGCTCTTCAACATCGAATAGAATTTACCCTCGGATTTTGTTTCTTCGGTCTTTCACAAATTAGCAGCTTTACGAGACCTTCAACTTGAATTTCATCAGTGAATTTCTCGACATCGCTTTTCTTTTCGACCTGGAGAACTGCACATCTATCTCTGGTTCTCATCATTCTTCTCAGTCCCAGAATTTCTTTGCGATCTATTTGCTCTTTTATGATTTTTTCAACATTTAACTTTATGCGCTTTGGTTTCAAGACTACCACATGTTTCTTCATTGACTTTGGAACCTCAACACTTATGCTCATTTGGGCCGCTCCAAGTATGATTTTTTCTGCTCTTTATTATTTCACTGAGAGCCCTTTCAGCTTCATGTTATAGTCCTTTTGATTCGAACCAATCCAATGTATAGTCCTTTTGATTCGTCATGTTGATTCGAACGAAATATTCATGAGCATGGAATGAACCCTGATGTCTAAAGATTTGCCATGATTTTCAATTAAGATCCTGTTAAATTTTTCCCTAAGAAACGAGCTTGATCTCCTCCTGAAAGTCCTCAAAAGAATCATTTAAGTCTTAAGGCTTTCCATCTGAAAGTTCCTCCTCGCTGATAGACATAATAACAACTTTAGATATTAAAATCTACTAAAAAAGTAATTTTTTTCCCCTTTGAAATTCAAAGTCAATCTTCCAAAAAATATCTATAGCAAGCTCTACCACCCTCTCCGTCAGTGTTACCCGTTTGAAGATGTTACATGTATATATGTTTCTATACAGATACCTATTAAAAATGAAGTCCCAGAAAGCAAGCAACCTTGTATCAAATATTTTCTTTTTATTGTCATAGAAATGTTTGTATTAAAAACTTTCTTTCAATAAAGCAAAAATATTGCAGTTTCAAATTATCAAACAATATAATAAGAGAAAATACACAATCCCTGTGTGGGTTATACTAGTTTTAATTAAGTGTTAGAAAAACTTAAAGAAATAAGGAACAGCTCAACATACTTAAAACAAATAATGCTAAAGTAAATGAAATAGTTTAGTATAGCTGAAATATCCTCCTTAAATATCTTATAGATTGTGCTTGGAGTGGTCACAGTTTTTTAAAAAAGACGAAAATATGAAACAAAACTCCCTGTATTTTCCTAGTTTGCAAGGAAGAACTCAAAATTCTCTGCATTTTTACCGGTTATTTTTAAAGATTTTTAAACTTCCTATATTTTCCAAGTTTTCCATATTCTCCTTGTGTAGAAACCCTGCCTGGTGATGAAATTTAGTACTGTCGTTCCTAAAAAATAAAATATTCAGGCTTTAACATTAGGGGGAAAAAATACTACATAGCTTCGTCCGGTTAGATACGCCTCCACAATCAATAACGCAGCAGCGTATCTCCACAAAATTAAGGTACTAGTTCCCATCGGAACTACTCACACTAGTACATGTGATTTTTGACAAGAACAATGCGGACTGAATCAGCATTTGAATGACAGTTTTCAGCTGTGTTGTAGGATTTTTTCGAGCTATCTGCGACAAAACTCTCTAGCACTACTGTCTTTCTGCAAGATACTTTTAATAGTAACAAACATATATCTTTCTAATTTAAAATAACAAAAGCAGTTAGTTTACAAAAGAAAAAACTACATATAATTTTTTTTTTATTTGAACATATATAATAATTCAATATTTTAATAATATGGTTGATATTCTCGCATTTTGTTGGGGATGGGGACACACAAATTATTTCCGTTTTTTGCATTTTGTAAATAATCGTCACAGTAAAAAAAATTAAAAATCATGAAATCCATTGTAGTAATTGCCGAAAAAAAGATCACATGAATCGAACTCCACAAATCCATGTTTCGTTTCGAGATTAGGTTATTGTAATAAATAATATTGTATAAAAAATATCGGATTTAAAAACTGTGGAGAAATCAATAGCAATAACTACCAAAAATTCGATAGAATTATTGCTTTAAAATGTAGGTACTCAAATGTACGATTCGAATTTTCCATATTGTTTGAAATATATCAGGATTCTTAAAAACCACGTGAAAATCAATATCAGTAACTGCCGAAAATACAATCGAAACATCATATCGGTTTACAATAAATTGCGTGCGTCAAAAAGCTATTATCTAAATGTTCAAATATTGCGTCTAAATTTCTGCAAAAAAGAAAAGTAAAATTTTTTTATTTTTCAAAAGAAAAATCTTTCTGCAAGAACCCTGTAACGTTCTGCAACAATGTTGTCATGATTCTGCCAAAGGGCAGTTTTCAACTTATGAAACTTTTAGTACCTCCATCAATCAACATAATTACATGATAGGAAATTTTTGTTGCATGAGCACAAAACAAAGAATGCAATTCTGCTGAAACAAAAAGCAGCAGGGTACCCAATCAACAAGTATATTTGAAGGTGAAAACAAATGGCTTCAGAAGGCAATTCTGCTGAAACAAAAAGTAGCAGGGTACCCAATCAACAAGTATATTTGAAGGTGAACACAAATGGCTTCAGAAGGTTAAATAAAAAACTTTACAAGTTAAACTAAAGACTTTTAAAATGCAAAATAGTTCTCCAAGATGAAATCAAAATGAACTGTATTTTATTGAAGTTAATTTCTTGCATTTCAATATTAATCTAATTTTCTGTATGAAAAAAAAAATCAAATAATTGTAATATAATCCAAATCGTGTCCATATAAACAATTTTTGCTAGTCATTGGAAAAATATACTTTCAAGTATTATGCAGTTCTTAAAAACTAAAATGAAATTTAAAAATTTTACAAAAATATTATAAGTTTTAAAAATAAAGTCATTCACTACAAAAACATGAAATTAATTCAGAAAAGACTAAGTGAACAAAATAATTAATACTAATTGCAAATAAAATTCATCAAATACATAGAAAAGAAATTATACACTTAGTTAAAATAGCTGCTTATTTTTTTTTTAAACTGACGTTCACAGAAAGGACAAAAATAATAAGAATCCTTTTCTGAAGGCTGTAAAAATCATGGAAATCTTATTTAAAAAAAAAAAAAAAAACAGCATAAGGTATAGGAAAAGGAAGTTTTTTCTTAAGTGGTAAAACCATCTCAAAGTTATACAAAGACAACAAACACTGTTATAGAACTTTTCATTATAATATATTATTTTAATATATTGCACTGCTTTGCTCTCTTATGATGAGTGGTATATAGCTTTGGATTCAGGAATTTTACTATATATATCTATGTGAGCTTTTTTGAGTTTCAGATTTTAATTTCAAATTTTTATTTTAAAAAGGGTCAATAATTATTTTTTTAAAAGCACATGGTATTTTGGGTGGCCACTCTAATCTGGAAAAAATATTCCCTGTGTTTTCCATGTACATATTAAACACAACATATTAAGAGGAAACACATTATCACTACCGGAGAAACTTAGAGAAAAAAGGTACAGCTGAACATACTTAAAACAAATAATGCTATAGTAAATTAAATAGCTTAATATGGTTGAAATATCATCCTTAAATATGCCATAGATTGCACTTTGAGTAATCACCATTTTTTAAAAGACGAAAATAAGAAACAAAATTCCCTGTATTTTAGGTGATTTTTAAATTCCCTGTATTTTCCAGGTTTTCTTTGTGGAGTGGCATCCCTGTATAAGTAAGAATTTTAGATAATAGTAAGATTATTATGTCATAAAATTCGAAGACGGAAAAAAAAATTATTATTAAACTGATAGAGCTTTGATGTACGGAAAAATTTAGAGCTCCATATCCATGCAAAACAAAGCTCTGGGTCCTTTTAATAAATAAAAATAAATTGTATTGTCATCATATTACTCTTGTAACATTGAAGCCTAACTGTTAAACTACTTTTCATAATTGTTATAACATAGTCCAACCATAATTAAAACATAGTTATGATTAGCTGAATTAAAACTATCATATCAATTAATAAATTATTAAAATTCATTTAGAGTACATTTTTGTTTTGTTTTATTGTCTTAGTAATAATATAAACAACTTGAGATTAAAAATTTAAGAAATATCTTGAGTAATTTCTTGCTATTCCTAAAGTATAAAAATACCATAAATGAACTCTTAAAAAAGTTTAACAAAAATTCATCCCAATTCTAAAAATTAATTTATTAAATCTTACACTAGTCATCAGCAGCCCAGAAAGGCATTTCTGTTTTAAACTGCCATTGGTCACTCTCATATTTATAAGCATGCAACATCATCAGCAGATTAGCTTGCTTTGGATCACGATATTTTTGCTTACAAAAATGACAACTCTCATCGTACTTAAATCTCGATGAATCTTTTTCATATCTTTCACCTTTAAATGCGTGTTGGCTATATTTACTTGTCAGCACATGCAACAAGTCTTCATCATCAGCCGTAGGTCTTCCTGGGGAGTTCTCCAACCACCAATTTGAGGAGTGTTCCTCTACTAAATCATTCATAAGTTCTTCAATAGATTTGTTAAACAAGCCATCTTTACCTTTTTGGGGACCAAAAACATGACTATTATACAAATAGTCATTGATAATCGGATGACCTAGATACTGTAAATGGACTCTTATTTGGTGAGTTCGGCCCGTGTGGGGTCTACACAAAACGACGCTGGATTTCCCGTCGAAACTCAACTTCTCGAACTCGGTGATGCTCGTCTTTCCGAGGGGACTCACTATGTTTATACCGACTTTGTTAAAGACCTGTTTAATAGGTTTATTGCAAACAATAATTCCATCAGGAAATTCCCCCTCAACTCTGCTCACATACTCTTTTCTGATATTACGCAAATTTAAGAGATCGTGCAACTCCCGAGACTTCTTAGAGTTTTTAGCATATATCAGCACACCTGATGTCAATCTGTCCAAACGATGTGCTACATATAAATTTTTATAGCCATACTCTAGAGACAAAACATTAGATATGGTGTTGTAATTATAAAGAGCGCATGGATGAACTGGTAGCGACGGTGGCTTATCGATGACTAACAATTCGTCATCTTCATAAATGGTGTGAATAGGTGATGCCAAAACTGCATGCTCGTGTCTATGAATTGTCGATTCAATGAGATCACCATTCTTTAGAACGTAATCAGCACTCACTGCTTTACCGTTGACTTTCAGTTTTCCATTTGTGGCTCGTATAACGTATTCTTCTCGTGGGTATAGAGAGAATTCATTAGCATAGCAATCAATTAACTTCCGTCGTATCCATCGTCCTTTGCAATACGTAGAATGAGTGTAGTAATAAGGATATACCTTACGCATTCCGTTTTCTATGTAATAAGGGAATTCGGAGTCCCCACCTTTCTCAGAATTGGGCGTTTCTAAAGATGGAAGTTCAGATTTGCTCTTATTTTTTAAAGCAGCAAATGAAGAGTGACATTTCTTAAAACCTGGCAAAAAAGATGCCAAGTTTATATATTTACCTTTCAAAATCATTTGAAGTAATAGGATTAGATTAGTATGATTAAAACAATCCTGATTAACAATATAAGACAGGATTTTGAAATAACGATATTCTTACTCATAGATATAAACACAGATAAAGATACTACTATAAAACTATATTTTAAATCAATCAAATAAATATTTTAAATATACTATTAAACTATAACTTATTTTCTTTGGCCCTGTTTGTGGATTGTACAATTTCAAAGCTTTTTCAGCATCAGCTTGTAGCTTTTGTAGTTTGAAAGAAAAAGTTCGATAAGGAAAGTTAGGTCTATTCTAAACATACGTTGCTCATGAATAGATAGCGAAAAAGTTTTGCTTCGGTCTTTGCATGAAGCGAAGTGATTTTATTTACTGTCTGAGCTGTCGGCTGTCTGTCTTGATCTGTTTTCGCTGAACTGAGTTCATATGTCCACAGTTTTTCCTAAATATTTCATATATTTCTTGCAGAAAACATTTTTGTGACACTTTCTTCCAGGTAATTGTCTAAATTTTTTTTAGCGGAATGATCGTTGTTTTACAACATCGAGTTCCTCGAATTTCATCGTTCTCATTGTTCCTGAATTATTTTGATAGTTTTTAGGTTCTAAGTTTTTTTGGAAATAGTTTAAAGTGTTAACCCAAAATTAAATAAACTGAGTTGCTGGAACTCCTGCTGAAGAAAGTGTATTCTGTTGAAAAACTTAAAAAAAATTTTTTTTTTGCTGATGCAATAGTCAAAATAATAATTGAAACATTCTGTTAACAGTGATAAACAGTTTAAAGTGGAGGATTGATGTTTTCATAAAATGAAAAAGAAAAAACTGAAGTATAAAGTTTACTAAGGAACGAAAAAAACTATAGTCATATCTTACTAAATGCTTAAAATTTATACTATGTACATCAAGGATGGGATATTGTATTCTGAATACAAAAGCCATTCACTGTGGTGAAACGAAGTAAGATAAGTATACATAATCAGCAGTGAGACCGGAAAAAATGGCGAAATATAAAAAAATAAGATTTTTTACATTATTTGAAAACCAATATGGTTGAAATTTGAGAAATTTTTTTTTTTTTCCGCAATAATTGCTGGCGAAAATATTATCAAAAGGCTAACATATATTATGTTGGAATTAGTGTGAATTGTGAGCGATAAAATTAAGACTAAAATTCGTTATTTAAAATTTTTATGTGCTTAAAATATTAAAAATAATCGATGGATTACATTAAACCAAATTTATAAGAAAAAGGTCTTATTAATTCTTTTGCTATAAATCTGAATTAGTAGCAAAAATCCTCACTCAAGGTCATATTTTATTAAAGTATAAAAGATTGTGTTCTTTAAAAAAATGAAATGAAAGGAAAAAAACATGATTTCTAAAGTAAACTTTCTTAACATTTGTGATTTTGGAATATATATATTTTTTTATATTATCCGTTTGAAATTTTGCTGATGCCAGACAGTATCAAATTTTTATTTTTCAAATGGGAATTAAAAAAAAGTCGCGAGCATTTCTTCTGTAGAAAAAAAAAATTCTTTCTAAGAATTTTTTACTTTTTAAAAGTAAAATTTTTCTGCATGAATATTCGCCACGATTCTGCCATGATGTTCATGTTATATAGGTACTTGCCTTTATTTTTATTTGGCTGCAATTAAATTAAATTAATTTTAATATGACATAACAACATGAAAATTGTGAATTTCAGTTACCACTTTTTTGCTCTCGATACCATCGTAAGTCCATGTTTCAATCATCTTTTTTTTCTAGTGCAATTGATTTTCTCATGGTTTATAAAATTCTGATCTTATCACAACATGCCAAATTTGACTTGTGCATTTAAATACACATAATGCCGAATAATTTAATTAAACTATAACTCGAAAATAACTATAATAAATATATATTATTTTACTGTTTCAGCCAGAACATGTTTTTAAGAAAATGTATAGCACTTTGTGCTTGTTTTAATACTTTTGTTTCCATTTGGTCACTGTTTATTTTTTTAATATTTATAATCTAATTCTGCAAATAGTTATTTATGAAAATCCTTTTTCTACAGTTAGGCCACAATGTCTAAACGCAGTCAACCACATTGGGTATGTCCATCATTGTCTGAGAAAGCAACCTTGAAGTTGTACAACAGTCTGACCAGAGAAAAGGTAAAGAGGGATTTGTTTAAACGTTAATAAAAATCCCAAAATATCAACTTTTTTGTTGTTGATATAACAAATGATTGGCTTGTGTAGTTTGTTTCCAACTTCTTTTTAGAATAAAAAAATTGTATGCATTTCTCTGATGCATTTATTTTATAATACAGGATTGCCCCATCCACAGGAAAAACCTGGTAAATACAGAGAATTTTGATTTTTTCTTTATAAACTGGAAAAATACAATGAATTTTGTTTCTTTTTTTCGTATTTTAAAAAAAACCTGACCACTTAATGTGTCATCTGTAGGATATTTAAGGATAATATTCCAACTATTCTAAACTATTTAATTTACTATAGCATTATTTAAGTATGTTCAACTGTTACTTCTTTTCTCAACTTTTTCCAGCAGTTAAAAACTAGTATAGTTAGCCAAATATAGCTCACACAAAAGCACAGTAATTGTGTTTTTTCTTAATATATTGTGTATAATATGTGTAGGGAAAACACTGGTAAGTCTTTTTCTAGATTTGAGTGGCAACCCTGTAGTATTGCTATTCGCCTCTGGCTACCACCTGATTCGCCTTTTTAAATAAGTAGAATTTCAAGATTTTAAATAGAAGTGCTGTCTAAAATCGAGACAATATGTAAGCATAAAAAATATTTATATTGTTCAATCATATTAAGTAAGAGTGTTAAGTGAAAGTGGATTTAAATTTTGTCCGTTTTATGTTCATATGGGATCATGATGAATTTGTTATTAAAGTGTTCCCTGTGGTAGAATTTTTTCTGGTTTTCTGCAACAAACTTCCCCAGCGTTAATATTTTTCTTTACGATACTTTTAATTAAAAAATTATTAATTTAATCTTTAGACGGTTAGGGAAATGAGTAGTTTTCGCTTCATTAATTCGCGCAGCATTACAAGCAAAATTACAATCTGTGGATGAATGAATGGTTCCGCCCTATAAACGGGTGTGATGTGCGGTGTGGCAGAAGTCGAATTCTTGGCCATAGATGGCACCACTGGAAAAAAGAACAATCGCACTCCCTCTGCCTAAACAGGCATACGTCAATGACACAACAACATTACCTGAAATGAAACCTATAAGAATATTATACCATGGGAAAACATGAACCCTTTGTGTCTTGGAATTACTTTTCTCCCGATCGTTCCAGATAATCGGTTCCCTACTGTGTATATATATATATATATGTATATATGTATATATATACATATATATATATAGAGAGAGCATGTATCCTTATATATATATTTTTTAAATAGGAAGTATTTATACCTCAGTTTGGGAACAAAGTTTTGTGGTACAGCTGCGGACCAACTGTGTATGATGCATCACACATGGGACATGCAAGGTATTTCATTTTTGATGTGTTTTCAAATTTAACATATACATGCATATTCCTCTTCACTCCGAATTGGAACAAAGGGCTTCTATAATGGCTCTACATCTCACTCTACTTGTGGGCAAATATTTTTTTTCTCTCCACGTGTTTCCTATTAGTTTCAATTGTCTTAGAATCTTTCTACGCCAAGTAATTTTACCTCTTTTTCTATTGCTCTGAGGGTTCCAATCAAAAACTTTGTTTTCCTTCGAATTTTTCAGGTTTGGGTAGATCATGACCAATTCATTTTCATTTACTTATTTTAATTTTTCTCCTCAATTGGTTTTTGATTCGCTTTTCTAAGGATTTTCTCGTTAAATATTTTATGAAACCACTTGATAGGTGTAAGATTCTTCTTAAACTGATGTTTATAAATACTTGAAGTTTTATCACATTATTTTTATTGCAGTGTCATGACTCAGATACATAATGTAAGACAGAATTAGCATTGGTAATACAGATTTATTTTGAATTTGTTATGTTTTTGTTTTTCCAAAACTTACTGAGAATAGTGTAACTGCTTCAGGCTTTGCTTAATAGTATATCTTTACCAATTCCTCTTTTGTTGTTAATTGTGCTTCTAAGATACATAAAACTGTTTTCCTCCTCTAGTTAGTTATTTTCTATGAATATGTTGTTCAATTATTTAGGATTAATTTTTGAAATTTTAGTTTTATTTAGGTTGATAGTAAGCTGCATTTTCTTTGCCTCTATGTTTAAAATGTGTGTGTGTTTTGTAGATGCATTTATTATTATTATTTATTATTGCCTTTAAAATTTAAAGGCAATCATAAATGCTTCTACATTTGCATTTTTAAAAAATTCATTTTTAAGGTGTTTAAAGGTTATTATTTTTTATTTGGGGTTTGAAAAAAGTGCTTAATTTTCTCTTTTAAAACGGAGATTTTTTTCTTTGCTGTATCAATTTTCGTTCTGAATTACATAAATTCATGATTTTCACAATTTTTTCTGCAATATTTATCAGAAACTAGTTAATTTTATCATGATTATATATAGATTTTTTAAAAATGTTTTTGAATTTTATTGATTTTATGTTTATAAATTAAGAACTTTAAACAGTAGAAAAAAAAAACTTTTTTCACACACTCAGACAGATCTTATTAATGATTTTTTTTTTTTTGGAAAGTGATTTAAAATATTTTTTAGTGCTTAAAAAGTATTTAAAAGGTATGTACTGTTTGTTGAAAAAACTGGCTATGCACCTGGTTCTGCATAAAAAAGTATTTTTCTTTTCTTTTTAGATCTTATATTTCATTTGATATCTTGCGTAGAGTGTTGTCAGAATATTTTTCATATGATGTGTTTTATGTCATGAACATCACAGATATTGACGATAAGGTAGGGCTAGCTTTTTTCTTGTTTTTTTAGATTAATCTTCATACTTTTTATATATATATCTACTGATCTTTTCTTATTTATTTTCTCGAGCATCTTATTTTTTACTGGGGAAAAAAAATCCTAACTGAAGGATGCACTACACTAGCTAATGCATTTTCTAATATTTATAAGCATGAATTCTAATGCTTAATTTGTACAGTACATGAAAGAAAAACCCACCCGGAATAACTTTTTTTCTAATGATTGGGTTTTCATGTACTAGGACTCTATCTTAATATAATAACGTCCGCTCTAATTAGAATAATTTAGGTCAGGCCCCCTCGAGCCGTTAAGATTGAGACCTAGTACACGAAAATAAAAATCCATCCTGAATAACATTTTTCTAATGATCGGATTTCATGTACTAAGACTCAATCTTGATAATTCCAGGGGGCCAGACGTCAAATATGCTAATTAGTACATGCAATATTTTAAGTTAATAATTCAGACACAACAACAAACTTTCTCTGAATAAGCATACTTTTATCCCCAACAGATTTAGACAAATTCCCCCTAAATATAGATGTAGCTCCAATCTTGGACCAACAGTTTGGTCAGGAAAGCAGTTCTAAGTTTGTACCCTTTAATGTTAATTTTACTTATTTCATTATATCTCTAGAACTTCTTAAAAAATTTTCTCTCACAATTATAAAATTCGTTTTTCGAAAGATAATTCTATACAAAAATTAATTTTTATCATTTTATTTAAGTGTGAAATATTTTCTATTTTTTCCTAATTTTATAACCAAAAATGCAAAATTTAGAACGAAATCGGTCAGAAATCTAATTTTAAAGAAGTTCTCAGACTGTTCAGCCGATTTCATTCAAAGTTTGCATTTAGACGCATAAAAATACATTTTTACTTTTCAGAAATTTTTCAACTATCATTAGTAAAATAATAATAAAAAGATTGACTAAAGTTGTTTTTTTTTGCATGGAATTATCTTTTTTGAAAAACCAATTTTAATAATTGTTGGCAAAGATTTTTCAACTTCTTTTAAGAAGTTCTCGAGATCTGGTGATATACACAAAAAGTAAAATTAACTTTAAAGGGTTCAAACTTTTAGCTGCTCTCTTGCTTAAACAATTGGGACCATTTTTCTCTGAATATATTTATTAATTTTTTTTTTTACCATAGTTTAACACCTGACCCAATTTTGAGTTTACATCTATCAATGTCTCAACTCTGCAATCTTGAAATTTTAAACCCAACCCAGAAAAAAATAGATCTTCTGGATCAAGCATTATTACAAACTAACCTGCATTTGCATTGCGAGGAAAACTACAAAACCACTCACGGTTAACTGGGTTGCAAGAGGATTATATTATAATTATAACTGTCGTTGAACAGCCGACCCAATTTTATGGGTTTACAACTACTAATGTTTAACTCCGTAATCTTGTCATTTTGAACCCAATCCAGAAGACAAGGGAACTCCTGGATCAAGTATTGGAAGAAATTTGCCTTTATGGAGGACTGTTTGATGGAGCTAACCCGCACTTGCGTTACATGGAGAGGAAGACCACGAGAACCTCTTGCGGTTAGCCTGACGGCAAGGAGACTCTAACCCATGATCCTTCTACCACTGAGGATATTTCACATTAGCACTGTGGTTGGTGCAAGCCGGATGTGTAATTCGTATTGACTGCGATTCGAACCCGTTTCGCTGCGTTGGAAGGCAGACGCTCTATCCCCTGAGCCATCGCGGCTTGTGGCAAGAGGATTGTAATCTGTGATCCATCTACCACTGAAGAGGATATTTTACATCAGCACTGTGGTCCGTGAGAGGCAGAAGCAGAATTCATATCAACNGCTCCAATCCTGGGAAATATGATACCAACAGTTTGGTCAGGGAAGCAGTGTAAAGTTTGTACCCTTTAATGTTAGTTTTACTTATTTCATTATATGTCTTCAACTTCTTAAAAAATTTTTCTCTCACAATTATAAAATTTGTTTTTCCAAAGATAATTCTATACAAAAATAAATTTTTATCATTTTATTTAAGTGTGAAATATTTTCTATTTTGTCCTAATTTTATAACCAAAAATGCAAAATTTGAACGAAATCGGTCAGAAATCTAATTTTAAAGAAGTTGTATATTTAAAATTAGATTTCTCAGACTATTCAGCTGATTTCTCAAAGTTTGCATTTTGATGCATAAAAATACATTTTTACTTTTCAGAAATTTTTCAACTATCATTAGTAAAATAATAAAAAATAAAGATTGACTAAAGTTGATTCTTTTTGCATGGAATTATCTTTTTTGAAAAACCAATTTTAATAATTGTTGGCAAAGATTTTTCAATTTCCTTTAAGAAGTTCTCGAGATCTGGTGATATACACAAAAAGTAAAATTAACTTTAAAGGTTTCAAACTTTTAACTGCTCTTTTGCTTAAACAATTGAGACCATTTTTCTCAGAATGTATTTATTAATTTTTTTTTACTAAAGTTGAACACCTGACCCGATTCTGAGTTTACATCTATCAATGTCTAAACTCTGTAACCTTGAAATTTTAAACCCAACCCAAAAAAGAAGAGATCTTCTAGAACATTATTAAAAACTAACCTGCATTTGCATTGCGAGGAAAACTATGAAACCTCTCACGGTTAACTGGGTAGCAAGAGGATTATATTATAATTATAACCGTTGTTGAACAGCCAACCCAATTTTATGGGTTTACAACTACTAATGTTCAACTCCGTAGCCTTGTAATTTTGAACCCAATCTAGAAGACAAGGGAACTCCTGGATCAAGTATTGGGAGAAATTTGCCTTTATGGAGGACTGTTTGATGGAGCTAACCCGCACTTGCGCTACATGGAGAGGAAGACCACGAGATCCTCTCACATTTAGCCTGATGGCAAGGGGACTTTAACCCATGATCCATCTACCACTGAGGATATTTCACATTAGCACTGTGGTTGGTGCAAGCCGGATGCATAATTTGTATCAACTGGGATTCGAACCCGTTTCGCTGCGTTGGAAGGCAGACGCTCTATCTCCTGAGTCATCGTGGCTTGTGGCAAGATGATTGTAATCCGTGATCCATCTGCCACTGAGGAGGATATTTTACATCAGCAGCAGAATTCATATCAACCAGCCACTGCTTCAATTTGAACCTAACTCACCTCATTGGGAAGCAAACACTCTATCCCTTGAGCAACTGCGGCTACATTTTTTAAAAATCATTGAAAATTATATAAAAATTTTATTGCTATTTTTTATTCAGAAAAAATATGTTTTAATGTCTGATTTCGTAACTTAAAATATTGTCTAGAATAGAAAAGTCATTACCATACAACTTTTCAAACATTTAAATATTCATTCTGGCATTTATTAAAAAACTAAATAAAAGTTATTAATAATAAGCGTTGATGTAGTTCCAAGAACTATGGAGTGTATATCAAATGGCAAAAACAGGTGGTAGTGAATGATGATAATTTTTTTGGTGGTCATTTGTCTTTTTGGAATGATAATTATTTTTTGATGGTCACTTTTTTTTCAAAGTGATGATAATTTTATTTAGTCACCGTGTAGCAAGCGACAACCTCTAATCTTGCTCTTCATTTGGTTTAATCTTAAACTGCTGTCATAGAAGAATATGCTTATTTTTCACTTTTCACTCAGTAGGAGCTGTACTGGAAATTTTCTTTTGTCCTTTCCTCTTTCTATTCTTGTGTATTTCACATTAATGAGTAGAGGAATTGTAGTGTAATCTGGTATTGATTGCTAGTCATTGTGTGTAAGAAACTGTGGGTGGAGTGTGACCTAATGGCTTCTATAAAATGTTCAGTATTTTATTGTAAAGTGGTAAAAATTTATTTCATGATACAGGAAAGCAATCAGCTTGGAGCCAATAGCTTAAAAGGCTGAGACTGTCGCTCAGAGAGTTAATTGAAAAAAGCAGTTTTTCTCTTTTATTATCTTCTGCGATGAACCTTGAAACTATTTGTGGTGTAATTACCAGTACAATTATTAAATATCATTTCACTAGTATGTAAGACCTGCTAATTCAATTCAATCTTGAGGTATTTCTTGATAGATGAAGGTTTTCATAGTCGAAAGTTCACTCCCCACAGTAAATGCTCAATAAATATGAAGAAAGAAAATGGGTAAGTCTTATGACTTAAATCAACTCGATGCTTTATTAATTGTACCAAAAAAAGGAAAAAACTTTTTTCCAACAAAATATGTTAATTAACATATTTTGTTGGAAGAATATGGATATTCTGTACTTGTAAGTTATTTTTTTCATCATTTTGTGTGTATTTTTTCATAAGTTATTGTGTTAATCATTTTCGGAAATGTGTAAAAAAAACGAGAGTATTGTACCGAATCTAACTGTACTAAAGCAACGGATTTTATAAAACAACATTTATTTGAAACATTAACCACGAATCAACAAAGCTACTATTATTTCAATTTCCGTGGTGGTGTATTCTTAAAATAATTATAAACAACTAAAATAATAATAAACTCAACAAAATACAACTAACTCTCAGACATTCCAAAATTGTCTGCTTTTTTTTAATCTTGTTGTTGATTTTGCTGTACTGTTTGTTTTATTATATATGTTAGCTAGTACTTTTTAGGACTTCTTTTAGAACTTATAGTATCTTCGAAAGTAAATTTTCTTACCAATGATCAATGATTTTCTTTCCAGATCATCAAAAGAGCTCGCCAGAAATATTTGTATGAAGAATACGTTAAAAACCACTCCGATATTAAGAAAATTATTTCTGATGTACAAGAAGCTATTAAGGTAGTTTTATGTTTTCTTAAACAGTTTTTGTATTATTGTTTAACTTTATTGAATATTCGTTGGTTTATTTGGATCCATTGCAAGTTTTACATTTTTTTTTAAATGTCTTCAATGAAATATTATTTGGTTTGTGTTTTTTTAATGGCTATGCAAGTAATTTTGTGCATTACTGAATAGTCACAGATTTTTCGTATTGATGAAGCAATTTGTAGGAAACATGAATGTAATCTTTAAAAAGATGGAAGTATTTGTAAAATGAAATTCTGTAAAAGAACAATGATACATACAGTTTGTATAACTGTTCCGTATACAGAACAGCTGTACAAAATCAGAGAAACTACAAAGCGGGAAAGCTTGAACATCGGTCATTAATATTGCTCGTAAGAAATAATTTTATTTAAAGCATTTTCCCATTCTAACCCTTTCAAGTTTAAATCAAAAAGGCGTAACACGGTTCTTCGATTTTAAAAAAAAATTCCTTTCACTTTTTGTTGCTGTCTCTTTTTGATATATTTGATTTTATGTATCATCATCAAAGGAACACGTTTGAAAGTGTTTTTAAAAAAATATTTTAAAAATTAATTTTAAATCAAAAGATTGAACTTAAGTGCTGAAATTTGAATTTTTGCGATCAAAAACTAATTAATTTAATTAAGTAGAGGTTTTTCCATACAAACAGATATCTCTGTTGTCAGTTTTGCTCTCTATTTCTTTCATATTTATGTAATAGTTTTATTATTTTTTTTATTGGAGTAGAACCTTGTTTGATCCTTTTATATGGGACCATTCATTGTGAACAGTAGATAAAGAAAAAGAACGAAGACCACTCAGCATAAAATATCAAATAATGTTTAGAAATATTATGAAGAGTAAAACTTAAAAATTAATAAATTTACAATAATTTTAAAAATATTATTTGAAATGAGTTTTTTCTTGTTTATTTTATTATTATTTTTTTAATAACGGTCGACACTGAATTTTTGTTCTTTGCCTTAGAAAACGCTGGACTTGTTATTCATTTATCGTTACCCGGTGGGCACCTGTCAATCACAGGTGTCCGCCGAATCACGGAGTCGAGTAACATTACCCACGCTACACCGCGCTACAAAGCGAAATAAATTCCATTTTTTTTTTAAATCTTAGTAAGATTTCTGAGCAATATATTAGTGGGAATCTGCTAGTTTTAAAAAAATTCCTGAACTGATATTATTTGCGTTATAAAAATAGCATTTGTGCCGGAACCAGTAAAATTAAATGATGCGCTTGGAAACGACAGATCGAGGTTCGACTGTATTGTATTCTTATTTGAAACTTCATTTGACTAAACAGTTCATTATCTTAGGATAGATTGAACAACCATTTTTCATGTGTTATATTTTGTTAAATGTGACACTATTAGTGATAATGAAGTATCAATCCTCACATTAAAAAAGTAAAAAAATAAGGGTTTATTCATATTTTGTATGATACCAGGGTATTTGGGGCAAAAGCCCCCTAAACCAGTGTTTATACAAAGAAATATTGGTAGCTTATAAATTTAGGGACAACAAAGTTGTCATTTTGAATTGTTTTTCAAACAAATTCTTTAAATTTGTTTCAATCTTATGCTTGACTATGAAGTCTATTTGTTATACAATTTTTTATTTACTGGGATTGCTTTATTGTTATAGCCTGGTTTTGTTTTGAAGTTATTATTTTTATTTAAAAAAATGGATTCTAAACAAAATATGTTATAAAAAATTTTTAACAATGTTTGCATATTTCTAGAATTATGAAACTGTTTTGGAAGCTACATCTGATAAGGATAAGAAGACAATGATTGAAAATCTGATTGAAAGAACCAAAAATGCAGTTGACGTAGCAAATTCATTGAACAAACCTGGAAGTGATGAAGCAAAAGTAAAATTCAATTTTACATGGTTTTTATTTATTTATTTTTCTTCATGCTGCTTTATTAATTTAGCATTTTTGTCGTAAATTTATTTGCCACATGACAGTTCTATTTACTTAGCAAATTTTCTAACCATTTTTGATTTATTACTTTTCTGGTATTGAATCTTCTACTTTTTATGTAATTTTTCCAAATGAAGTGTCGGGACATGATTTTTTTTGTTAAACAAATATTCACAGAAAACATGAAGGCATTCCAGGGTGAATCCTGTATTGCATTCATGTTTCTTTCATTCTATTTTAATTTAATTACAATTCCCTAATAGTTTTGTAAATTTTTAAATAGGTAGTATTTGAGTGATATTAGTGATATTTTGTTAGTGAATGAATTTAGTGATATTTGAGTCTTTTTTTACAACCGTCGTTGAATTGCCAACCCAATTTTGGGTTTACGACTACTAATGTTCAACTTCGTAGCCAATGTTCAATTTTGAACACAATCTGGAACACTTTTTTGATGGAACTAACCCCTATTTACCTTACATGGAGAGGAAAACCGCGAAAACCTCCCAGGGTTAGTCTAATGGCAAGGGAACTCTAACCCATGATCCGTCGTTTACCACTGTGGTCGGTGCGAACTGGATGCGGAATTCAACCAGCCATCTCTGGAATTCGAACCCTATTCACCTTATTGGAAGACAAACTCTATCCCCTGAGTCTTCACGACTCTTGAGAGTCTTATTGATGATTTGATAATCTTTAATCATCATAACCTGCATTATATTCACTTTTTGAACCAAAATAAATTTGAAAAATTTTACTTTACACGTTTAGTTTTTGTTCTGTTTCATTTTAAAGGCCTTATTTGAATAACTTGGGTTTTGGGATACAGACCCTTAAGATCTTGTGGGGAGAGTAGTTACAGACCATGTCAACCTTCATCTATGAAAAGGTACCCCAACATAGAGTCGAGTTAACATGTCTTATATACTAGTGAATTGTAGTTGTAATTTTGTAGTGGTAGATACGCTACAGTACTCCCCCACCAGAATTATAGCTATGATAGAATTCGATGAATGGATGCCACTAGTTGATTCATTTCTGTTTTGTGCAAAGCCGGGAGAGCTGTATTAAGATCAGCGTATTTTTTTGAGTGCTGAATGTGAGAGGTGTATTACAATCACGGTCGTAGTCGCTCCTGTGTTGCCGTTAGCAGTCGAGTGTATGCAAGCCAATGTTGTGTGTCATCGAGATGAGACTGAATAGCAACTGCGTGGGGAGGTGGATAATGATGCAGTCACAAGTAGCAAGTCAACTGTTTAATGTGGACCATCCAACGAAGTAGGCGTTACTGCCGATGTAGGCGTATCCAGATCAAAGTGGGTGTTTTTGCCAAGGTAGGCGTGTTCACATCACGTCCGAAGGTCACCAATGTGGGGGGAGTAGTTACAGACCATGTCAACCTTCATCTATGAAAAGGTACCCCAACATAGAGTCGAGTTAACATGTCTTATATACTAGTGAATTGTAGTTGTAATTTTGTAGTGGTAGATACGCTACAATCTTATGAATGAATTATTTTCCATCTTGCCTGATTTTATGATATTTGAAGCCTTATTTGCATGCCATGCAAAATAAGGCTGGAGGTATACTCAGGGTTATATTGGTTTTTAATAGTCATGATCAATATTAATTTTGAGAGCCATGATGGCTCAGGGGGGTAATGTGAATTGCGAGTTAGCTCGATCAAAAAGTCCTTCACGAAGACAAATTTCTCACACTGCCTCATCCAGGAGTCTTCTGGATTGGGTTCAAAATTACAAGGCTACGGAGTTGAACACGTAGTCGTAGAACCAAAATTGGGTTGGTTGTTCAAGGACAGTCATAAAATAAAATAAAAAGGATATTAATTTTGAACAGTTACCCTCCCCTTGAAATTTAGTATTTAATTTATTTAATGCTAATCATATACATTTCACTAGCATATGCATAGCTGCCAACTGTCCAGAATTTTTCAGATTTGTTCCTAATTTTTAAATCGAATCTGAAAATCTGATATTTTTATAAAAAATCCGAATTTTTGTAAAATTGCAATATTTTTGTTTTTAAACCAACCCTTTGTTCTGATCGCCGCAATCGTGATTATTGTGCAGAAGTAATTTTTAGTAGCTTTTTATTGGAAAATACTATTCCAATAGCTGTTGCTGATCATTTCACTAAATTAAATCTTAAACTACTATTATTATTTTTTTAAAAATGTATTGTAGTATTTAAACATTTGTATCAGAAATATTTGTTTAGTATGTAGTTTAATATTTACCTGTGTTTTATAATTTTGAGAAGAATAATTATATATTAATAGGTAATGGTTATTTCTTTAACTATTATACCAGTATTCCTAATTATAAAATATTAATATCATAAATTTCCCACAAAAGATAGTGTTTATAGTTTTTTTTACTAATTTACATAAGGGTTTTAAATATAAGTCTATTAATGATAATGTTATTATTTAATAGTTAAATTTTTGTCTTACTCTCATAATTGGTGCGTATAATTTTGTCGCATATAGTGGTCCTTATTTTTTATTCCTAAGGTTGGCAGCTATGGCATATGATAAATTGAGTTTACATTTGTCACATTGTTTTATTCCAACATAACATCAAGATATAGCACAAACGTTTTGACTTTTTTTCACAATCTATTTTATGTAATTTGTGTTGAATTTGAGTGACATTTTCAAATAATAAATTTTGCTGTTGTTTTTAAACTTAGACATTTTTGTGATTCATTTTGAATTGTTCCAAATTTGTAAATATTGGGGAAAAACTGACACCTCAGTTAATTGCATAGGATGTGAATTTGACAAATAATTTGTGTTTAACGTTCTTCAGTATTGCTCATTAGACATCAGGTCTAATTGTATCTCAGAAAATAGAATTTTGGATTCTGCTTTTGGTGAATTGTAATGTTTAATTGACGAGAAGTGTAATTATTGAAATTGAGTCGATTTAGAAACAGCTCTCACTTGCTTTGATCCCTATCAGCCAGTTTTAGACGGTTGAAATAACTTTTTTTCAAAACTAGTTTTGAATGCATAAAATTATAACCAATTTTTGTACCAGTCTTAAGATAAGAAAGAAATGACTTGAATGATTGTGAAACTAACTGTTTATGTTGTCATCAGCGATTAAGGCAGAAGGGGTGCGATTGTTCTTGTTTTCCTGTGGTGCTATCTATGACAAAGAATTCGACTTCTGCCACAACCGCATGTCATCCGTTTTATAGGCGGATTCATGTGGTTGTGGCATTCACTCATCCATTCATTCATTCACAGATCGTAATTTTGATCTGAACTAGAGAATGATCTATTCAGTACCCCCAGAGATATAATTTGATATGGGAACGTGGAGGACTTTGTGATCCGACAACTTTAACATGCTCCAGTCACCATTTACTACACAGGGAGTTGACGGCTGGCTGGATTCGAATTCCCATTCCTACGAACTTGGGTCCAGTTCCCTGCCAACCAGGCTATCCCCCGGCTCTGTGGAACTAACTCTTTTTAATTAGTGGAGTTGACCCTCTGTACAAAACCTTCAATTCAATCTTCTAAATTATGAATTGAATTGTCAGATTTAGATGAAGCAGATCTATCTAGATCTATCTACAGATAAAGGAACACATACAAAATTTTATTTTGTCAATGAGTTCTTGAAATATAGCATTTCAAATTTCAATCAGAAACTCATAGAAAATTATGATTCAACTAACATGCTGCAGTTATTTTGTAGAGGAAAAGCAGTATACTTAGTAGTAAGTTGGCAATTGCAATATCTGGTTATATATAACATTTAAAGATTAGTTAAGCAGGAAAACTGAAGGTTAGTCGATCTTCCTCTCAGAAATTGCTTAAAAATATCTGTCTACCTCTAAAATTTTCCTAAACTTAGCATATCAAACACTGGATGAAATAAAATAAATGTTATGAAACTATTGGGCTTTCGAGTTTTCAGCTGGTTAGAGATGTTAATTTATAAGTTATCTTTACTGTAATAATAATTATTATTGTAATTGAGGCAATCAGTAAATTTGAAGCATGGGCAAGGCCCAGGGGCATAAGGCATTCAAGAGGCCCTTGAAATCTAACTTTTTATGAATTGTATTTAAAGGAAAACTAAGAATAAACAACGTTGTCTTATATATTTTTTAAATTAAATATATGTTATTGTATAAAGAGTAAATTTTTTCTCTCAAATAGTGATTGATTATCATGCTAACACCAATAATTTGAATAGTTTATTACCGGGAAAGCTTAAAAAGGCAACAGACATGTAAGTTCACTGAAGTTTTTAGGTACCCAACACTCCCTTACTGTTCAATTTGCACCTGCAAGGTTCATACGTACCTTTAAAATAAATTAATGTGAGCAAGTTTTATTATTAAGTCATAATGTCAATAAAAAAGCTTGACCACCACCAACTCTGTTTAGTGTTTAAAATTAGTTAAATAAAGTAATAATTTGAAAAATTTAGAACCGCAGCACTGTGATACAACATCAACTTTTAAACTGGTTATGGCTTAATGTGAATTGCAAAATGTTTTTATAACTACTAAGTTTGACAAAATATTACATACCATTCTATTTTTTTCCTTAATTTGTTAAACCTTTTTATGTTTTGTTAATTTAATTATTATAATTAGCTTCCATGACTTTCAAAACTATTTAATTATTTGAGGATTGCCACTAATTGGAATCTAAATTTTTTTTAAAAATTATGCAAAGTTCATACCTGCCAAGTCTCCTGTTTTTTAACAAACGCTCCTCTATTTTATGACTATCTTCTGTTTTCCCGTATGTTCTCAAATTTTGCCGTATTTGTTGAAGAAATTAAAAAAAAAATAAAAATTTACAAATTTTGCTGATAAAATATCTGCTGATGGCAAAAATATGTCTCTTTTTCCTCAATAGATAGTACTATTGCCAGTACTGCAGTATGTTGAGTGTTAAAAGTTTAAGTAAAACTATCCTCAGTGATAAACGGATCATGGGTTAGAGTCCCTTTGCTATCAGGTTAACCGTGGGATGTTTTCGTGGTTTTCCTCTTCATGTAATGCAAATGCAGGTTAATTCCATCAAAAAGTCCTCCACAAAGGCAAATTTCTCCTTACACTTGATCCAGGAGTTCCTTTGTCTTTTGGATTGTGTTCAAAATTACAAGGCTATGGAGTTGAACATTAGTAGCCGTAAACCCAAAAAATTGGGTCGGCTGTTCAACGACAGTTATAAAATGGAATAGTTTAAGTAATTATCAATAATGGTTTAAAAAATCTTCTTTAGATTAAGATTTATGTATATATGTTTTACCTCACTAAACGTAAGTGCTTATATTATTTCCAATTTTGAATTTCTCTTTTTGACTTACATGGTTTAAAACTTTAGTTGTAGCTCAAAAAATGTCGCTAGTAAAATCTCTGCTATTTTATTTCTCCAACGTTGGCAAGTTTAAAAATGCTTTTTTTAAAATGTTTTTGAGGTAATCAAAATGTGTTTAAATTTGTTTAAAATTATTGCATAGCTTAAAAATTCCTCATTTCATGTATGTGATGTTTTTTTAATTCGATTTCAAACAACATGACATGTTATAGAGGCCCAAAACATTTCTGTGCCCTGATTGTAGAGTTTTTAATGAGAAATGTTATATTTCAGATTGTGGGTGATCTTCTTAAGCAGAGTGTAGATGTCATGAGTGAATGGCAGGATAAAGTCAATTCTGAAGTAGAGTATGATAATTCCATATTTTTTTCACTTCCTGCCGAGTGGGAGGAAGAATTTTACACAGACATGGAATCCTTAAATGCAAGTAATGCTTCCAGTATTTCATTTGAAAATGAACGTTTCCAAAATGTATTTAATTTCAGAATGAATTTTTATAATAAGTGTATTGAATTCGGTAATGCATAGTTCCAACATGTATGATTAATTTGTGAATGATATCAAGGAAGTTTGTTGAAAATTCAAAATATGCACGTACAGTGAAATCTCCATGAAAGACCACCTCTGTGTAGTGACTACCTCTATTGATGACCACTTTTGGGTAGCACGGAATTCTTTCCATAATGTTGAAGAAAGCCTCAGGAGAGACCATCAACACCTCTCCCAGCGACTGAGCCCACCTCCTCACCAAATGCGGAAAAGGTCATATAAGAAAACACAAAAAATGTAAAAATAAAAAATATTAACAAAACAAATAAGTAAATTTAAATGCATTCACAAAAGTTTTGAGTGGCTCTTATTTATGGAGCACTTTTTGACAATCTCGGAGAGAGATTGACAACGTAGTGTACTAAAGATGATGCTATCAATGATTTTAGAAAAAAACTAAGCATCTCAAACAAACCTCTCATTTTTAAAGTAATTTAACTTTTGTGATATAAAACTAATTGCAAATTTATACAAAAAAACATAATTATTTATTCATTTAAAATGGTTCTATCAATCATAATTGGTAAATTTGTTTTTACCTATAATTTTATCAGTAAGGGTCGTTTTTATTGTCGATAAATTTTAATCATTCATCTGGTTTTCATGGTGCCAACAGAAGTGGCATTTCCACACTAAAAAAATAACACTGACTAAAATTTAAATCGTTTGCGAAAAATCATGTAATTTCGATAACAATTTTTGAAGGCAATGAAGGTAACCTGTAAGAACAACCAACTTCCATTACCGACCTTTTTACTATGGAACAGATAGTGGTTGCTCCCGAAAGGTTTCACTGTATAATAATAGCCTAAATATGAGATTGTAGTGGGGAGGGTCACCAATATTTATGAAGAAATATTTGTTGATGTTGGAGTGGAAGTAGGCAATATTAATAGAATATTTATCCTGAAAATGATGATTAACACTTGCTTGTTCCTGGATGCTGGAAGAAATATGTTGTAGGAAAATCTGTTTGTCCAATAGTTCTGAAATTGTTTCTTCTCATTGGCACGACAGCCCCGGATGGGCCATGGCCTTCTCAAGAAGCTTATACCAAGACATTCATCCCTTAGCCAAGGTTTTCCAGTTTACTATCCTTAAAACTTGTAAGTCCTTTTCAAGGCAATCTAAAAATCTTAGGTTTGGTCGTCCTTTTTTTTCTTGTACCTGTTGGCCTGGCATTGAAAACTTTTATAGTTGTCCTGCTATCCTTCATTCTCACAATGAGACCTGCCCATTTAATCCTTTGAATTTTGATAAATTTAATGACATCAGGTTCTTTATATGCTTTGTAAAGTTCCGTGTCTGATCTTCTAAACCAGGTACTGTTACTGAAATTATTTACACATCATAAATTGCTTTAATGGTGATAAATAATAAACTTTTGTAGGATTCCATCAAAATAGAAATTAATCTTCATTTTTAATATACACATATTTTACTAAATATTGAATTTTGAAAATAGCCCACAGGATGTGGCTGCAAAACACCTGTGTCCCTTAGCAAATCAAAAATGAGAGTGTCATGCATGGATCATTTTCAAAATTAGGTACCATATGAGAAATTGAAGTATAAATAAACAAAATTTGTTTAACAAGTATAAATTTTAAAAATAATTAATCTTCCATATTATTTTGGTGTTTTTCGCACAGTTTATTTTCTGAAATTTTTTTTACTGTTATATTTTGTCATATTCCTGCACAATTTAGTTTAATGTTATTTTACAAAGTGTTAAAATTTGTTTACTTTCATACCTTCAAAAAAACTCATTCCAATTTATTGTAGGTTCTTCAACCGGATGCCGTAACGAGAGTAACCGAATTCATCCCAGAAATTATTGAATATGTCAAGAAGATCATCGACAATGGATTTGCGTAAGTCCATCTTTTTTGTTCTATTTCCTTTTAAAGGATGATGAATATCTGTTATATGAATTGATAATTTCCGTTAGGTATGAATCAAATGGCTCTGTTTATTTTGACACTATAAAATTTGATGATATGCCTGATCACTTTTATGGGAAGTTGGTGCCTGAAGCATTTGGTGATTTGAAGAAGTTGCAAGAAGGAGAGGGTTTGTGTCATTAATTGTTTTTTTCTTTTATGGTATTTTGAGTCTTTGATGTCAAAGTTCATTTTTGTTTTATTGATCAATGCAACTGGATATATTAATATTTATAACAAATAGCTGTAAGCAGGGCCCATTGCCTCAGCTGGTTTGAGCATTTTGCTAATACCACAAAAGTCATTGGCTTGTTATCCTGTGTCCCTTGTGTGAGTGTTATAATCACAGAGCTGTGATGGCTCAGGGGATAGAGCACTCGTCCTCCAATGAGGTGGAACCGGGTCCGAATCCCAGCTCTGACTGGTTGATGTGAATCCCGCATTCGCACTAACCACATTGATGATGTAAAATATCCTCAGTGGTAGACAGATCATAGGTTAGAGTTCCCTTGCCGTCAGGCTAACTGTGGAAGTTTTTCGTGGTTTTCTTCTCCATGTAACTCAAGTGCTGGTTAGTTCCATCAGAAAGTCCTTCACAAAGACAGAATTTCTCCCACTACTCAAGCCCAGAGTACCCTTATCTTCTGGATTGGGTTCAAAATGACAAGGCTACGTACATTGAACATAAGTAGTCGTAAACCCATGAATTGGGTTGACTGTTCAACAACGGTTATAAAATATAAAAATTAATGACATAGCATTACGAACTTATTTGGATACATCTGCGTTTATATTTTGAAGAAGGAACAATACGCGTAACTGAAATTTAAAGTATGGAATAAAATGTTATTCCATTTTCAAATTCTGTGTTTAAGAAATGTTACTTTCTTAAATACGCGTTTTCAGCTTTGTCTAGTATCAACTGGGCAGAATCGACTGACGATATGGATTTTACGCAATGTTAAACAAACTATACTAAAGTCAAAGTTTATAATTTCATTTAGTAATGTTTTTACCATCATTTATGTTAATGGGGAAAATTTTACAATTTCTGGGGACTTCTTTCAGGTGAATTGAGCATTGGAACTGAAAGGCTGAATGAGAAGAGAAGTCAAAGTGATTTTGCTGTTTGGAAATCTTCAAAACCTGGTGAACCTTCTTGGGATTCCCCATGGGGAAAAGTAAGTTCATTTCTTTTTTAAATACACCTCAGACTTTTCTATTAATTAAATTTTTGAGATTATATCTGATTATATTATATCTATGATCATATCTGATTATTATATTTTCTCTATTCTTGATATTATACCTGATCTTTGAGATTATATTGAGGGGAGATGATTATCCGCCATGTCAACCTTCATCTATCAAAAAGTACCTCTATAGAATCAAGTTAACATGACTTATATACTATGGAATTGGTATTTAATATTTATAGTGGTAGTTATGCTACAATGTAACATTTAACAATTGTCTTTAATTCTTCTTACCTGCCATAATGCATGACTATGCCAAAAATCACTGAGGGGACACAAAAATTAAGTGACAATGCTTCGAGTTTAAATATATATGGAATATATATATATATATAAATAAATAAATAAATACAAGAAAACACAAAGAAAGTTAAGAAAAACAATAAGTTTCATTTATTGCACTCAAGCTGCAAGTAAACAGAACTCATGAGATAACTCATTAGATAAGTTCGAAATGAAGATAAAACAAAGAAAAATTATAGACATATGAAAAAGGGGGGGGGGAAATAATAAGTAAAAAAATAACAAACAACAGTTTTTAGAAGGAAAAAAAGGATGAAATTTTATTTAAAAAAACCGGAAAAAAAAGGTATAATCTTTTCATCAGCCCACACGATTATATCCGCAAAACAGAGTGCTTTCTGATATTGTATCAATAAAGCCAAAGCAAAATATATTAATAAAATAGTTTGAGACATATTATTAATATTTTTTGTATTAATATATTTTGCTTTGGCTTTATTGATACAATACCAGAAAGCACTCTGTTTTGCGGATATAATCGTGTGGGCTGATGAAAAGATTATNAGATCAGAAACACATCATTAAAAGGCAGACTACTTTGGTGTTTTCAAAACTAAGCAAAACAAAGCAAACGTTGCCACCGGCGGAAAAGAAATACAGCCAAAATTTGGGAGCCACGTAAGAGAATTATATATATTAGATTAATACCTTATTAATAAGTGAAAGAGTGAAATAATTATGAATATCAAATTACCTCATTGTTTTTTCCTTGATGTAAGTGTTTGATCAGTTTTAAATAAAAGATTTAAAACATAACTCTTCTAGTTTTAACAACTTTTTGTCTATCAGCAGTAGGACAAATGTAAGAAAATACTTTTTTTTATAAAATCTATAACATTCCTTAACCTTTTTAAATAAAATAAAAAAGCTGGATTGACTTAAAACCAAATTCTAAAAGTAAAAATGAGCACAAGCTTTGTATTAATTTTTTTAAATAAAATTAATGACTTAAAAATAATTATAAAATTATATCAAAATATTTTACTTACATGTATCATAAAAAATTTTTTAAAGATAAAAAATGATGAGTAAAAGCTAATAAAAGTAATGGTATAATTTAGTAAAGCAAAGTTTTAAATTATTTTTGAAAAAATGTATGTTTGATTTCTGGCCCTTTGTTTCATTTATTTATTTAAAATAATAAAGTTGTTTAGACTAAGAGTAACAATATAATTGTAATGACTATTAGTATTAATAAACATAAATAACAAATTTAGTAAAATAAAAAGTAAGTTTTGGTTTACTTATTTATCTTTTTTTTTTTTTTTTTTTTTTTTTTTTTTTNTTTTTTTTTTTTTTTTTTTGAAGTGAAATCGACTTGAGATTTATTAGTTTAAAAATATACGGAATTCAGAAGTATTTAAATTACATGCATTCAAAGAAAATTTAACAAAAAAATTAAACTTAATAGTACTAATATTCTAAGGACACAAGAAGATGGAAGAAAACACCATCACGAGGAGCTCAGTATTTTAAATATACATTCACACATCCATTCAACAATAATGAGTAACAACATAACATTGACTAAAATAGAAAGTATTTTAAAGTTTTACCCATTAAACCGATTGGGGGGAAAAGGAACCAGGGTAGGTTCGGGATTGCTCATCTTGCCGCCATCTCACTGGGTAAGAATCAGATCGAAGACTATTGCTATTGTTTTTATGGATAGAGAGATAGCGCCATCTGTTGCTAGGAATTAACTATCCGTTACAATATTAAATTATTAAAAAAAACTTCTTTTAAATCGTCAAAACATTGCTTAACCTTTATTTTAAGTAAAAAAGTTTAGCAGTTTTAACTATTCTCAAAATGATTTTGCCTGAAAAAACTTTAAAAAAAAACTTTGCATTCTTTGAAAAAATTAAAGCAAACTGTGTTTTAGTTTTTATGAAAATTAAAACAACTTAATATCTTTAAAATTGAAGACAAAAAATAGCTAGAAAACCTAACAAAATGCAACTAAATTAAATATTGAACGATTTAAAAACAACAACAGTGGCTTGTAAAAACTTGATATTTCTTTTTGTTTCTTGATATTTCTTGAAAACTTGATATTTCTGACTAATATCTGAATATCAAATACGAAAATATAGGTTTTGTTTTAAATCTTTATAAGTAAAAACGACTAAAGATTTATAGATTAAAAAGAAAATAACATTCTATCATTATCTACTTACGAGCCATTGAAAGAATTAAAAAATAAAGGAAGTAAAAGCTAAAAAATTTCTATGAAACAGTAAAATTATTTAAATACGAAATACTACCATTAAATTGTACTGCTTGAAGTGAAAAAAAAAAGATTTAAAAAAAAAATTCTTTATTTTGTACTTAATTTTTTATATTTATAATTTTTTTTATTTTTTGTAAATAGATTGAGTTCATAACAAAATAATACCTAGCAATCACAAAGTAACGTAAGTCTCACTGAAAATGAGCTTCTAGTAATGTAAAATTCAGAGGAAAGCAAATCCTAAAAGAAAAGAAATTCATTGCTTTCTACATTCTGACGCTGATCCGTGTACGAAGTTTCGACTTCTGATTCTAATTTTTCTCCTTGCCATTCAACATCACACACCAAACACTGTCTTCATAGTTAGACAAAATAAATCTTGATGAAATCAAAATTGCCTTCGTCACGCTTGTTAACAGCATTTGTGTAGGCTTGTTAAATTGCACGAGTCTTCTTATATCGAAGGCTTAAATCAGAGTTCTAATGTCTCGCTAGAGATGAAAGTCACTATGTCAACGTGACTATTTAAGCACTAGATCGATATTTTGCAGTGTATCAATAAACTCTCTTAATATCTGGTCCATATAACAAAGGTTCTATGTGTAATAACCAAGTAATCAATTCCACTGGTAGTCCAGTTCTGTCCATACTTTCAATAGCATATCTCTATTAAGTATTTGCATCTGTGATAGTAGTGCTGTCATTAGTTGTTGTTCATATATTTATGTTGAAATTTCATTTATTCATTTCTCCACCAGGTTTACCCCACCTTTGCAATTCTTATACTCAGACATAAATAGTCCTTCCAAACTGTATGAATTATTTAAACTAACCTTGTATTTTAACCTAGTTCTGATATACATTTTTAAATTAGAATTTTGAAATTTTAGTTCATTTTTATTCTACTAAAAGTGTTGTTGTGTTTTTGTTCATAATAGGGACGTCCTGGTTGGCACATTGAATGTTCCGTGATGGCTAGTTCTCTTCTTGGGGAATCCATGGATATTCATACTGGGGGTTATGATTTGAAGTTCCCCCACCATGATAATGAGCTGGCACAGTCCGAAGTAAGCCATTCTAATTTCTGTTTTCTAAATAAGACATTCAATTACTTGAACATAAAAAGTGATAGCAGATAATTGATTGTTCATAAAATATTAGTGATTATGATTTAAAGTTTACTTACAACAATTCCATTTGATTATTTGTGTCCATTATGATTATGGATCCAACTTGACTATTTATGTTTACGTAAAAAATTCAGGCCAAGAATAAGGCTTGTGTTCATTTGCTATAAATCTGTAAAGATTAATTTTTTCATAAGTAAGTTTTTTTTATTTGTAATATTTATGTAAAAGGGGAGGTTTTTAAACTCTTATTTATTTAATTTTGTCTGTTTATTATTATATTTATTTAGATCATTATTTAAAAAATCCCTCTGCAGGAAAATCTTATGTAGCCTCATTTACAAAACTTTTCTGACATAAATGTGCTGTTTTTGAAGAAAAAAATGACTAAATGCTTTTTTTTATTTTTATTTGTAAAAACGTTTATGAATTAATCATCCTTTAAGAAATGTTTTCACTTATGTAAGAGATATTTGTCCTAATCAATGAACAAAAGCTATGTTATAGTTTTCTAACTATGCACTCATTTATTTAGAATCGCAAATACATTTTTGTTTATTGAATAAAAGTGTATGAATTTCAGGCATACTTTGGTAATGACTGTTGGGTGCGATACTTCCTTCATTCTGGTCATTTGACTATATCCGGTTGCAAGATGTCCAAGTCTCTGAAGAATTTCATCACAATTAAGGAAGCATTGAAACAGCACACATCTCGACAGATCAGGCTGGCTTTCTTGTTGCATTCTTGGAAGGATACTTTAGATTACAGCTCACAAACAATGGACATAGCTCTCTATTATGAAAAGCTCTTCACAGTAAGTTCCAAACGTTTGAATTGCATACCTGCCAAGTCTCCTGTTTTTTAACAAATACTTTTGTTTTTTTTTACAACTATCTCCTGTTTACCTGTATATTCTCAAATTTTTCTGTATTTGTGGAAGAAATTTAAAAAAAAAATTATTTTTTTATTAAATATCCACTGATGGCAAGAATGCTTCTCTTATTCCTCAATAAATGGTGATATCGCCAGTACTCTGCAGTATGTTGAGGGTTAATAGTTTAAGTTGAGCTATACATGTTGGCTAGAGAGGCTTCAGCATTGCATCCATCTTCTCATCCAGTTCCCCATAGAAATGCAAGGTGGCTTCTTAGGAGCAAATTCAGGCACAGAACAATATCTGCTCATAGGGACTTAGCTGATGGAAAATCCTGGACTAGCCTGCTTGATGACTAGTGCTCTCACCTTTCCCTCCTTCCCAGAGCCGAGGGAGTTGCTTGCCTTAGAATAATTACTGGACATGACTACTTGCAGGCCCATTTATTTAAAATTAACTTGGTCAATTCACCTCTCTGTGTGCTCTGCAACACTTCGCCTATGACTGGGGAGCATCTATTTGATTGCCCCTCTCTTCTTGACATTCGTTCCTGTGATGACTTTTGTGCCCTCTCACCTTCTGGAGCTACTTCAGTGTTGTATTGGACTGCAAGATGCCATACGTCTGAAAAGACTATAACGGGCATAATTTAAAAAAGAAAAAAAGTCAAGCTGTGATAGCTCAGGGGATAGAGCGTTCGCCTTCCAATGAGGTGAACCTGGTTTGAGTCCCAGTGATGACTGGTCTATATGAATTCCGAATCCAGCTTGCACCAGCCACTGTGCTGACGTAAAATATCCTCAGTGGTTGATGGATCTTGGGTTAGAGTCCCCTTGAAGTCAGGCTAACCGTGGGAGGTTCTCGAGGTCTTTCTCTCCATGTGATGCAAATGCGGGTTGGTTCCATCAAAAAGTTCTCCATGATGGCAAATTTCTCCCAAAATCTGATCCAGGAGTTCCTTTGTCTTTTGGATTGGGTTCAAAATTACAAGGCTACAGAGTTGAACATTAGTTGTCGTAAACCCAAAAATTGGGTCGGCTGTTCAACGATGGTTATTAAAAAAATGATCTATGCAATCAGACCATAGGACCCAGTCCATGCCATGAAAAAGCAGCCCTCGTCATTATATCCTCAGTGGTAGATGGATGTTTGGTTAGAGTCCCCTAATCGTCAGACTAACAGTGGGAGGTTTTCGTGAATTTCCCCTTCACGTAACTCAAATGTAGGATTTCTATCAAAAAGTCCCCCACGAAGACAAATTTCTCCCAATACTAGATCCAGGAGTTTCGTTGTCTTCTGGATTGGCTTTAAAATTACAAGGCTACGTAGCTAAACATTAGTAGTCATAAATCAAAAAAATTGTGTCAACTGTTCAACGATGGTTATAAAATAAAATAGTTAAAGTAAATATAAATAATGTTTTAAAGATCTTCCTTAGATTAAGATTTATATACATATTTTTTACTAACATGATTATGTAGCTTAATTACGTTAGCATGACGTATCAAAACTTTACTTGTAGCCTAAAAAATGTCGCTATTAAAATCTTCCTTATTTTATTTCTGAAATGTTGGCAGGTATTGAATTGTATGTTTTTTTTTTAAATTAATGGTTAAAAACTATTTTGTGAGTGTTACTATCCTTTTATTTTAAAATAATTATAAATTTGGGTTTAAAAAGAGCACAGAGTTTTCTAAGCTAAACTTAAAATATTTATTTTAATATTATTTAAAAAAAAGGCTTTCAGTACTTGAAAAATTTCTCTCTCAATTTCCCCTTATCCTTGATAGAATGTTCAATTTCTTTTACTTGTGTTTTGTTATTGTAAAATAAACTTATTTTTGCAGAACTAAACTGAAACTTTTAAAAATGTAGAAAATTTAAATTACAAGAAATTCTTCCTTTTTTTTTTTACTAACTGCTAAAAATTCAGGTTATTTGGCTAAAAGCTTTAGTTGTATAGAAACTTCATTTTATTTATTTATTTTGAGGAATTTTATATGAAATTTAAATTAACTTTACATCACATGGTACATTTTTGGTTTATAATTATCTATTCTATGTTTGCAAATTTTGTTGTATGCGTGAAATTTAATTTTTTCAAAGAATTTTGTTTTTTAACTTAGTTTACATTAAAATTATAACAAGAAAATTAATAATAAATACCTACATAATTCATTTTTTGTTTATTGCTCTTGTCTGAAAATTGCTCTTGTTTAAAAAAATCTTAATTGCTAAGGAAAGAATGGGATTGATTAAACTTCAGCGTCTGATTGGTTAAACAAAATTTGTACTATTGTTGTATCTAAATTTGTTTGAGTTTTCATTTTCCCCTCATATTTTGAAATTCTAAAGGAAGTTAAGATTATTTTTAAAAAAAAAAAATTTCTTTTAAGAGATAAGGCGAGAAATAAATAATCATGAAGTAAAAAAAAGTAGACATATGAATAGTGTATGAAATGAAAAAATTAGTGATTTATTATCCAGTGATTGGTGCAAAAAGATCTACTAGGTTAATTATTATTTTTATCTTGTTTATTGTGAAAAAATAAATTAACAAAATGTAAAATAAATAATCAAATTATTGATTTAATATTTGTGCGATTATTATAGAAAGATACATTTTGGAGTCAGTAAGCTTTTAATTTCTGAAAATTATGGTAAGCAACTCTTCTTCTTCTTCATAAGCGCAACAGCCTTTCACAGGCCAAGGCTGACTCGCAGATTTTCCTCCATCTGGCCCTCTCCGGTGCGACGGCCCGCCATCGGTTGACTCCCAATAGCTTGAGGTCCTTTTCAACGTCGTCTATCCATCTTGTAGGTGGTCGTCCCTTACGTCCTTCAATTGTGGAAAAATTGTGGTGGTTGTCCCTTCAATTGTGGAAAAAGTAACTTTTTTGGCAGGGACGGCATCAGAATTTCTGAAGAGGTGGCCCAGCCACCTAATGCGTGATGCTTTAATAGTTCTCACAATGTCGGTCCCACCGAATTTGTCATATTTTTTGTAAATTTCGTGGTTGTAAAGAATTCTCCATACGTTATTCTCTTGAAGAGATCCAAAGATTTTCCTCAAAATTTTTCTTTCAAAAATTAGCAGTTTTTCCTCCTCTGTTTTGCTTAGGGTCCAGCACTCACTTCCATACGTAGCTATAGGCCTGATTAAAGTTTTGTAGATGTTTAACTTAGTCTTCACACAAGCAACTCTAGATTGTGTTAATTAGTCAAAAAATAAGTTCAGTCTTGAATTTTTTTTAGAGTGAAGCTATTTTAATGAAGCTATTTTTAATGAACCTAGAATTAATCTTTTTTAGGGACATCATATATTTTGTTTGTTTGAAAAATTGTGTATCAGATATAAATTTTTTTTCAGCTTTAAGAATAAAGTAGCATGTATTAAATTGTGTAGTTAAATCTTTATGTCTTGTAATTATCTTTAGGAATTTCTTCTGACAGCTAAAGATTCTATTAGAGACATTCCAAGAACTGGCAGAGAAGCTCACCAAAAATGGACTGTGGAAGAACATAATTTGTTTTCCACGTAAGGAAACCTTAATCTTTGTTCATTATTAAAAAACATTTTTAATTTTAATGTAACATAATTACCTATACGTACCTGCCACTCTTTCCAAGAATAGATTTTCCAAGCGGTAGAAAACGATTACCATAAATCAATCTTACTCAAAAATATATTTATATTTTGACAAAGTTAATATTTGCATATCGTAAACATGAGTTAGCTTTTATGTATTCAGGGTTGCCACTCCACAAGGAAAACCTTGAAAATGCAGGGAATTTTGTTTCTTATTTTCGTCGTTTAAAAACTGCTGACCACTCAATGTGTAATCTATGGGATATTTAACCATGATATTTCAGCTATACTAAACTATTTCATTTACTAAAGCATTATTTAAGTATGTTCAGCTGTTTTTCCAGCCATTAAAACTAATAAATATAGTTAGCCCAATATAGCACACACAAGAGCACAGTAATTGTTGTTTCCTCTTAATATATTGTGTATAATATGTAGAGGGAAGACACGGGGAAATTTTTTCCACTTATTTGAGGGGCAACCCTGGTATTTGTTGTAATTATTTATATGTAGTGGTGGTCAAACTCATTTAGAATTATTATTATAATTCAAAAGTTTAATAATAACATAAGTTTTATCACTTTAAATATGAATATAAAATTTTTCAGGAAAACCGGAAGAGTTGGCAGCTATGTTTATACTGCAAATACTGTAAATTTTTGTAACTCAAATGTCTATTGCTTAATATTTTGCGAACTTAAGGTAATTAGTATCAAAGTTAATGTTAACATAGTGTGTTTTTTTTCTGCTAACAAAAAGTTTGATTTAAATCAAATATTTTTTATTTCTGTGTGTTTAAAAGGTACTTTGGGTTTATTTGTTTTTATTTCTAATCATAGTAGTAAGAATTTTTTTCTTCGAAGGAAGTATTTTTTTAAAAATTTTAATATTTCACAAATTTGTCCATTTTCAGAAATTGGCAAAATGTTATTTTTTTTTAAAATCCTCTCATATTTATTAGAAATTAAAATTGGTTTATAGTTTTTGAAATATCTCATTATTTTAAATTTTTCCAATTTATCCTAATTTCATTTATACGTAAGATGATATGTAAAAATCTTGTAACATGCATTCGTATATTATAGGTTTCAACAAAAACAAGCTGGTGTTCATGAGTCATTGTGTGGTAAGTTGTTTTAATGATACAGAATAACTTTTTCTTTGTTAGCGCAACAGCCCCTTGCAGGCCTCGACTGCCTCAACAGCTGACAAATGCCAGCACCTCCTATCCATGGCAACTCCATTCCAATTTCTAATCTTTAGGGTTTTCAGGTCATTTTCGATGGCGTTGAGTCATCTAGTAGAGGGTCTGCCTTTGAGACATGACCCCTTGGGGTTCTTAAAGATGACGATTTTTGTGGCACTATTTTCAGGGCTTCTTCATAGATTGGCCAGCCACCTCAGCCTATTACTGTGGATTATTTGTGTAATTTGGGGTTTCTTTACAGAATAACTAAAATATTTAATTTATATACTTTTTTTTGTTTACAGAATAACATGTAAAATAACAAACTTGTCCTTGCAAAATTGTTATCGTTGTAAATATCAGGAAGTACTTATTTAAAAAGAAAAAGTAGCAACCTAATGGAGGAGTAAGTAATCATAAAATATGATGAGATTAAAAAGAGACATTTTGCTGAATTAATCTCTTAATGCTCTACAAATAATAAATTATTTGGACTCTCTTCATTTTCAGTATTTAACTATTTTTTATCCTTCCTTTTATTTTGCGACTTCTAACTTTTAACTCAACTTACTTAGCACTTAAATGTTTTGATATATCTTTTCTTTCTAGAGTTCTACATGTTCTTTGTAGTTCTTAATTCCTGAAACTGATCATAAGATTGTTAAAAATTAATTTTTGTTACAACTACATTGACTGGCTGATCAACCTTTAAAGATTGGAATAAACAATCCATATGTTCAACAAAGCATTTGAAATATAACAAATAGCTTAATATTGCGCAATTGTACCATTTAGGAATGTCATATTTGCAGACTTAAGAAGCATATAATTTAGTTAAAAATTCAAACAGTCATAATATTTTTCGTTAAAATAACTCTTAGTTCATTTTCGAATACTTTCATTTTTAGTAATTTTACTAAGTTTTAAAAATTAAAAACTTGAACATGTCAATATGTTATGTCTGTAACAACCGGTTTTCTATTAAAAAAAAAAATTATATTTCTTGAAGTAAATTGGAATAAAATTAAATGACAGCAATATTTATTTTCATAAATATTGTTAAAACAGCCTTATGAAGAAATTAATTTTCTACTTCGAAAAATATTCGACATAACAATGTTTTGAGAAGAAACTCTTCGACATAGGAATTGAAATTAACATTAGGTGAGAATGTAATGCCAAGGGGCAAAATATTTTTGTTGATACAATAACAGGGTGTGTAGTATTTTTTAAGTGCTTATTTTTGATTTACGTTTTTTAAAACGCCTTAAAGGTGCTTTTTTTATTAAGAGTTTATAAAAAGTGCTTAATTTTCTATCTTTTAAAAGGGATTTCTTTCTTTGCTGTATCAATTGTCGTTCTAAATTACAAGAAAATGCATGATTTTTCAAAATTTTCTCTGCAATATTTATCAGAAACTAGTTATTTTATCATGATTATGTAAAGTTTCTGAACATTTTTTAAAATTTTGTTGATTTTATGTTTATAAATTAGGGACTTTAAACGGAAAAAATAATTTTTATTGCTGCACAGATCCTAATAATGTTTTTTTTTTTTTTGGAAAATGATTAAAATTATTTTTGAGTGCTTAAAAAGTACTTAAAAGGTGCTTGTTTTTTGTTGAAAAATCTAGCTACCCTGAATAAGGTTTTCAAGACATTGAAAGTATACTGTATACTTTTGACATTTGTTGTGATGTTAACATTATTTATGGTTGAGGTGAGTGTCACATCATTTCATGAGGCAACAGACATTAAAAACAAGTTGAAGAAGATCAATTCTTTTTTTATATCTATACTAACACTGAATAATAATAAATATATAAGAACTGGAATTGTTTTTGTTTAATTGATTGTGTTGGAAATCCATCTTTCAGTTGTGCACATTATTTTGTATTTGTTTTGATCAATGCCGATTTATTGATAATTTGCTTTTTTCTTACTCTTGAATGATGAATATTCAGCTAGTACTAATATAATTGTAAGGATTTTGTTTCCCTGGAATTTCAAGTAATTTTAGATTTGAAAGTTTTTTTTTGTTGACATTTTATATTGCATCTCAAAAAGTTTTACAAGTTTTTCAATCTATCCAAATGAAAAGAAAAAATTTTCTTGCAAAATCTTTTTTTTAGTAAATTTTCAGTTAATTTTAATAGCTAAGTAATATATTAATTTTAATAATTAATTTATATAATCATTTTTAATAATTAATTAATAATCAATTAATTAATAATTTACAAATAATGTATTTAAAATGTTGATTTAGGGATTAAAAGAACATGGTCATATTTGTGTTCAGTTTCAAAATTTCTTCTGTATTTCCTGTCTTCAAGTTTCAAACTTCAGAGCTTTTTTTTAAACAAGGACTTAAACTTCCATTGACGTTTTTGCTTTAAAAACTGTTTTATTAATCTTTTAAAAAAATTTTTAAAAATTTAAATGATTTATTTGCATACCATATATATTCGGCCATACTTTAAAAATCTGACTTTTCTCTCTTTTCTAGATAATATTGATACTCGCAGTGCTCTAGAAAATATTCGTGATTTAATCACGGCGTCTAATATATACATCAGTTCCAGGAAATCAAAACAGCTACAGTGCAATAGAAAAGTTCTTGCTAACATTATGTCTTATATAACAAAAATACTTAAGGTATGTTTTCCTTCTATTCTTATTGCTCTACTCTAATTAACTTTAGATTAATCAATTGATCAAGATTGAAAAAAAGTGCATTTATTTCTCTAGAAAATTATTTAGTAGATATTGAGAATTGAAGGTATTTATTTTATATTTGAAACCTTTAATATAAAGCAGTATTTATGTGTACAGTGAAGCCTCAAGGAAAGACCACCTCTATGTAGCGACCACCTCTATTTACGATCACTTTTTGGAGGCATAGAATTTTTTCCTCAAATTTATGTTGACAAAAATATTCAGGAGAGACCATTTAAACCTCTCCCCAGCGACTGGGCAGACCTCTGCATCAAATATAGAAAAGGTCAAATAAGGAAACACGAATAATATCTAAACAGAAAATAATAAAACAAATAAGTAGATTAAAATGTATTCAAAATATTTGTGCGATGCTTTTATTTTGGGAGATCTTTTTGACAATCTCTGAAAGAGATCTACAACCTCATGTTGTAGTCAGAGTGCACTAAAGACTATCACTATTAAAATTTATTTTTAGAGTTGGAAGTTAGAGTTGGAAAAAAAGTTATTTTAGAAAAAAAAATAATAGCATCTCAAACAAACCCTCTTCTCATTTCTTAAAGCTAACTAATTTTTATAATGTAAACAGGCCTACCAACTTTCTGCTCTTTTTGGAAAAATTTCATCTAATGGGAGCTAAGTTTATGCTTTAATATATTCTTTCTTTTATAAATTTGATTTAAATTTACTTTCTTACACCATTACTTGTAAATGATTTGAAAGCTCACATGAAAAGCCACTTTTCCAACCCTCTCTCTTGGTGAGGCTTTTAAAATGTCGGCAAAATATCCAAAAGTGTTAATTGTCTACCACTCGATAAAATATTTTACCAAAAAGCATATAAAATTAAATGCAAACTGAAACAGAAAACATAATTGTTTATTTATTTAAAATAATTCTATTTTTCATGATTGGTAAATTTGTTTTAACACAATTATACCATAGGGGTTAGGGCGCTTTTTCATTACACGACACGATACCGACAAAATCGGACGACAAATGTGTGAACGACAATGTCGTTGCCGGATCGTTTAAGCAATTGTTTTTTCACTTGTCCGATATCGTTAGTCCGAGAAGTAGAAATTCTTGTTCATTCAATGTTTTGAGCTTGAGTGTGTAGAGACATAAAATTTAAATNTTTTTTTTAACTCAAGAAATTTTCTGGAATTTTGACTTGGGCTCACAATCACCCCTGCACTATTAAAATTTATTTTTAGTGTTGGAGGTTAAAGTAGAAAAAAAAGTTATTTTAGAAAAAAAAAATAGCATCTCAAACAAACCCTCTTCTCATTTTATGAAGCTGATTATTAATTTTTATAATGTAAACAGGCCTACCAAATTTCTGCTCTTTTTGGAAAAATTTCATCTAATGGAAGCTAAGTTTGTGCTTTAATGTATTCTTTCTTTTATAAATTTGATTTAAATTTATTTTCTTACACCATTACTTGTAAATGATTTGAAAGCTCATATAAAAAGCCACTTTTCCAACCCTCTCTTGGTGAGGCTTTTAAAATGTTGGCAAAATGTCCAAAACTCAGTAAGCTTAGTGTTAATTGTCTACCACTGGATAAAATATTTTACCAAAAAGCGTATAAAATTAAATGCAAACTGAAACGGAAGACATAACTGTTTATTTATTTAAAATAATTCTATTTTTCATAATTGGTAAATTTGTTTTCACTCAGTTATATCAATAGGGGTTATGTTTGGCTGTTATATTGGCCTTTATAAATACATTTTGTAAGCTATGAGTTGAATTACAGAAATAACTATAAAAAGTTGAATATTAAATTGTATGTGTGCATGCTTTTAAACACGCATAGAAAAAGGTTGTGTAATCAAAACATCCGATGATAGTGTAAAAATATGCTTTTTTATTTAGCTCAAAATAAAAAGACATACACTTTAATTTTCCTGCAGTCAGTTTTTTTTTCTTTTGGTGCATTTATTGAAAACAATTTGGTTTATTTTCAGATGTTTGGTGCAAATTTTGGAGATTTCTCTTCTGAATTTACTTCTGGTGATTCCGCATTAGTAAGTTAAGCTTATTTATTGCTCGCAGGATAAATTTATTGTATATTTTTCTTTCAAATAATCTTTCAAATTTTTTGAAATACAGTCAGACCTCCATTAAACGAAGTCGCTAAATCCCAATAATAGATTCGTTAAATGGAAAATCACCGTTTGAAATATTTAAACAAAGCAAAACAGGTTTTAAATTCCTAAACGCTAGACATATTTAAAATAGCAATTGATACACCTTTATCTTGTAAACTTGTATCTACTATTTATTTTATAAATCTTAACCACAAAAGTGATCTGCATGGAAAGCAAGAATAGAACAAAACATTATGCTATCATGCTATATAAATTTTCAACTTAAAAAAAAAGAAGCTAAATTAATGAATAAAACTATAGTTGCATTTGTTCTAAAAGTATCTTTAAACATACATTACCACATGCGTTTTTAACTTGAATTGCTACTGATAAAATCCATTAATTTCGTCTGAGTTTTTCGTTTGAAGTGCAAATGAAAAGGGAAAGGGATTTTACTGCTTTCTCTAAAAATTATTGACTTTGAAAATCAATTCAAATTGAGCTAAAAAGTTTGAAATGTTCCAAAATAATTTTGGGAAATAGGGAAAGTGGATCTAAAAAAAAAGTTTGTTAAATAGAAAGTTTACTTCGCTATTTGGAAGTTATTTTACAAAGAAATTTCCAAAATGTTCTTGGTTCCCTGAAAAAATCGCAAAATAGAGAAATTTGCAAAATGGAAGTTCGTCAAATAGAAGTGGGACTGTATAATGTTTAAGCCAGTAGTTTTAATTCCGGTTTTAGGTGTTTTCTTACGAAACTTAATTCTTTTGAAAATGGTATTGTGAAAAAAAATTTTTTTTTTACCTAATTCATATGCTGTAGTCATTTTAAAAATAATAATAACTAAGATAATGAGTGCAATAGTGCATGTAAGCTATTAATAACCTGAAACTGACTTTGATAATTAAAAATCAAATAATAAGAAATGAATTTGTTGTTTTTGCAAAAAATTATTTCAGAATTTTTTGGCCTTAAATTAAAGTAAGTAAAATAAAAAATTTAAAAAAATTAGGAAATCTCTTCAATATTTTATATTTTATTTTCTTAAAAAATAGTGACATCACATAATGTTTTATAATGTAAATTTGAATTTTGTTATCAAAATTGAATTATAAATGTGTCACATTTTGTTTAGGTTAACCAAGATGACATAGTTATGCCTTATTTAAGAACTCTAGCTGACTTTAGAGAAAATATTAGGCAGCAAGCCATTGAAATTAAAGGTCAGTTTGCAATTCAGACGAATTATGTTTTTTTTTCTTTCAATAAATTTGCTCAGTGCCTTTATGTTTTTTTTTTATAGATATCTGTAGATTTATAATTTATGCTGTTTTTGATAAACTTTAGTATTTTCTATTCGCTGAATAAATGCAGTATAACGATGAAAATATAGCTGTACAAAATGATAATAACTGCCAAGTCTCCTGTTTATAAATGAAGACTCCTGTATTTTAAGACTTATCTCCTGTTTACCTGTGTATTTTGAAATTTCTACGTATTTGTCGAAGAAATGTTTAAAACGAATTTTGTTGATAAAATATCTGCTTATGGCAAAAACACTTCTCTTATTCCTCAACAGATGGTGCTGTTGGGAGTACTGCAGTTTGTTGAGTGTTTATAGTTTAAGTAATTATAAATAATTGTTTCAAAAAATACTTCTTTAAATAAAGATTTATATACATAATTTTTACTTTGCTAAATGTAAGTGCTTGTATTATTTACAATTTTGAGTTTCTCTTTTTAAAATAAGGTGATTTACTTTGATTATGGTGATTTACTTTTGGTGACAAATTAAGTTGACATTGAGATACTATTTTTATGTATGAAGCCTTCCCATGTTTTCTAATGTTTTAACTTAGTTTCATGAAAGATTATTTAGCAATAAACCTTCTGTAATACCGACTTTTGGTTCGAGAGTAAATATGCTTGGAGGATTTTAGCACTTTACTTGCACCAGAACCAAAACCTTTTTTGAGGGACATTTCTTTTCAAACAGTTGATGTTATTTACCTAATATTTATAGAGAAAAAGGAGTCTTAATCTAGTTTCTTAGAAAATCTTTTAATAACTATTTCAATTATATATCAAAGAGCAAAATATGTAAAATATTGTAAAATGAATATATGTTTCTTGTCAATGTAAAACTTACAAGGATTATGGTAATTGGGTACTTGCACTTCAAGAAAACCTCCCATACCCACACATTTGACCTATGAGGTCAGCTAATCTTTATTAGCAAAAAGGCGTATTAAAGTTGAACTAAGTTTCTCTACATAAGTTAGAATGCTAATTAACAATAAGTTATTTAAATACAGTTCTGTATCGCGCATTGAATTACTTGAAATACAATTTTTCTCATCTACTTCTTTTACTTAACTTTGATTTATTATTTTTTTATGTATTTTATTGTAACCGTGATATAATTTTGTTTTCTGTACCTGGCAACTTCGATGCATAATTACTTTGTTTATGTTCCGCATGTATTTGTGTAAATATATAGTGAAAGAATTGAAATCTTTGAGAAAATCTTTGTGAAGGAATTTAGATTGTGTCACTTAAGAAAATTAATACTTGAAGGGCTTGGCTAACTCAAAATAGAATGGAAAGAACAGTTGCTAACGTCAACAAATGCCACATTTCAACAACCAATCAGAATCGAGATACCCAGACTATGTCACATTGCAGGTATCCAATTAACATTAGCGAAATGAAATCTTTGAGAAAATCATTTTGAGACAAATTTATTAATTATAATACAGTAAAAGTAGTCATAACGATAATTGGGTACTGACACTTCAAGAAGAAGACCTCCCATACCCACACATGTGGCCTATGAAGTCAGCACCAGCTAATCTTTATCAGTAAGATGGTGTATTAAAACTGAGAAGTTTCTCTATATAAGTTGGAATGCTAATTAACGATAAGTTAATTAAATCCAGAGCTGTATTGCACACCGAATCAGTTGAAATATAATTCTTTGTCGTCTACTTCCTTTACTTAACTTTGATTTATTATTTGTTTATGTATTTTATGATTGATTTTGTGTACTGAAATGATTTTGTTGGTCGATATTTTCTTTTCAATGTTTTTGTTATTTTGATAATTTTTAATCTTACAGCTGTTCCTATACTCAAACTGTGTGACTCTTTGCGTGATGATGTGCTACCCGCTCTTGGTGTCCGTCTAGAAGATCAAGAAGGTACTTTAAATTTTTTTTTTTTTATCAGTTACTTCTATAGTAAATATGTATTGCATTGTCTAAAAAGTTTGTTGATTTTCATGTGGAAGTGAGGAGGCTTGAATGTATTGTGGCGTAACTACCACTATAAATATTAAATACCGAATCACTAGTATATAAGACATGTTAACTTGATTCTATCTTGAGGTACCTTTTGATAGATGAAGTTTGACGTAGTCGATTTATAATTCCCCTCAATGGTGAATTTATTTATCGACTATGTCATATGTCGACGACTATGTCAGGTGAATTTTGATAGATGAAGGTCATCTATGAAAAGGTACCTTGTGAGAGAATCAAGTTAACATGTCTTATATACTATTGAATTGGTATTTAATATTTATAGTGGTAGTTACGCCACAATACATTCAAGCCTTCATTTGAATTGCTTAATATAAACTGCTCAAAAATAAAAATAGAAAAAAGATCCGGTGAAGTAAATAAAGTCTCCCGGTAATAAACAAACAAAAAATAAAAAAACATGAGTGAAATGCTATAAACGAAAAATGAAGACAAAAATATAATGAGCAAAATTGATATACATAAATTAACAGCATGAATCAACAGTGGTATCCGCTCTTCGAATTCTATCCCAGGTAAAATTCTGGAAGGGGAGTAATGTGGCGTAACTACCACTATAAATATTAAATACCAATTCACTACTAGTATATGAGACATGTTAACTTGATTCTATCTTGAGGTACCTTTTGATAAATGAAGGCTGACATAGTCGATAATTATTTCCCCACAATCATAAGAATTAAATGACACATATAAATATTCAAAATTATTGACTTGAAAAAAATTTTACTCCAAATATTTTGTATAATTTTACAGTTGACCCATTTTTTTTTGAGTTTACGACTACTAATGTTCAACTTGGTAGACTTATAATTTTTAATCAAATCCAGGAGACAAAAGAACTCTTGAATCATGCATTGAGTCAAACAAGATTTCGCGACGGACTTTTTGATGCTGCCAACCAGCATTTATATGACATGAAGAGAGGCGCCTCAAAATCACCCTTGGACATTCCAACGGAAAGGATATTCTGACCCATGTTCGTCTACCACTTTAATTGCTATGAGTGGGAAGCAAAGTTCGTATCGATAATTTTAACTTTCGTCATCTCATTGGGAGGTGAACGTCATATGTCCTAAACCATCTTGGCTCATTATTGCTTTTAATTCTTTGGTCAAAATAAAAACGCAATCAAACTTTACTTTTTTTTGTGATTCAACTTGAGAGGTAATTGAAGAACTGTATTTTTAAATTGCTTGAAAGAAGGGAAAAAATTGTGAAACTGAATGCAATTTTAAGAAATGTTCACTTAAATGCTGCAATTCAATTTTCTTTCAAACTATATATACAGTTTATGAATTGGAAACTGAGTTTCAAGACCTTACTAATTCTTTTTTTTTTTCTGTTCAGCTAAAAACTTAACTGATTGTTTATATAACAAAAAGTGTAAATAATTATTTTGTGATCTGTATATGGCACACACACTTTACTAAGTAGGAAGTTTTAAAATGGTCCTTAAGTACCGAGTACATCAGGGCTGCCTAAGGTCAAGGAAAACCTGGAATTTTTAGGGAATTTTATTTTGACTTTAAAAACCAAGGAATAGTCTGGGAAAACTGAATTTTTTTTTTTACAAAAACTTGGAAAATTCTTATATTATGCCTGGAAAATAATCAGTTTTAAAATTGTCCAGGGGTCTGTCCAGACATTTTGTAAAATTGTGAAAAAATTACTCGTAATTTGTGAATATAAAATAAATGTTAAGTCACATTTTTTCAACCAGGGTCCTGCTTTTATGAATTTGTGCAAATGAATCCTTATTGCAAAAAACTTTTTCAAGGAGTTTTGAAATTGTAAATAGATACAAGATTATGCTCAACATTGTAAAATTTTAATTAAAAAAATTAAATTTTAAAAAATAAACAGCAATTGCAGCTACTAAATTAGAGATGCAACTTACAAATATTTGGTATTTAGCCTATACTGCTGAAAGCAGAATATTCATTTCGGACGAATAGTGGAAGAAGCGTCTGCTGAAGACAAAACTTAGCTCGTTTACATCTGTCTTTCTTCCCTTCCCCCCCGGAAAGGGTTAATTCTATTAACAAGACGATAATGAAGATAAACAAATTTGTGAAGGTCCGATTAGAAGATAAATTATTTTGTGAGGGATCCGATTTTAAGTTAAAATATTTTGTGAAGGATCCGTTAGCGGACCCAAATTTCTTCTAAACAGACCCCTGTTATCAGTAACAGTAATCAGTTATTGAGATTGGAGTTGCATACTTCTCAAGTCTCCTGTACTTTATGACTATCTCCTGTTTACCTGTATATTCTCAAATTTATCTGTATTTGTTGAAGAAATTTTTTAACAAAAAATTTTTTGGCAATAAAAAATCCGCTTTGCTGATGGCAAAAATACTGCTCTTATTCCTCAACAGATAGTGCTATTGCCAGTACTGCAATATATTGAGTGTTAATAGTTTAAATACCCTTCGCAGCCTGGCTAAACATGGAACGTTTTCGTGCTATTCCTCTCCATGTAACTCAAATGCGGGTTAGTTCTATCAAAAAGTCCTCAATGATGGCAAATTTCGCCTATTACTTGAGTAATCCAAGAGTAAGTCTTCTGGATTGGGTTCATAATGACAAGGTTACGGAGTTGAACATTAGTAGCCATAAACCCGAAATTGGGACTGCTGTTTAACAACGGTTATAAAATAATTTGAGCAATTATAAATACTGATTTTAAAAATCTTCTTTAGATTAAGATTTATATACATATTTTTTACTAAATGTAAGTGTTTATATTATTTACAATATTGAATTTCTCTTTTTGACGTACATGATTATGCATAATGTATCAAAACTTTACTTGTAGTCCAAAAAATGTCGCTAGTAAAATCTCCGTTATTTTATTTCTCCATTACTGGCAGATGTGAAGTTGGAGAATTTTAGCATCTATTGCAATTATTAGTGCAACTGCCATTCCAGTGCAACTGCCATGTTGCCATCCTCATTCTTTCAATTATATTTATTTGCTCACGTAATCTAATATTTGGCAATAACAAGTAAAAGAATCAAAGTTATTTTGATGAAAAATTGCATGGTGTTGATAAAATATCTGACTGTATACTTTATTTCAATGCTTGATAATTATTCAGTAATGTTATAGTTGTGTGCGATTTTGGTAAAATTTTTTGCTTTTTTTTTACTACCACTTTTGGAAAATAATTTTTTGTCTCATACCATAAAAGTTGCTGCTATTCTAATAAGTAACAAAATAAATTGTAAACAATATAAAATGAATCTTTACAATTGTAAAAAGTTTTTAAATTATTTTGTAGTTCAATATAATCAAAGTAAGTCATTTCAAACATAGTTTTTAATTTTGATTTTTGAAAACATGATTACTCTGCTTGTATAAAACCTTAATTATTAATTATGTCTGAGATTAGTGTTTATTTTGTGAAACATGGACAGAAAAAAATTATTCATTTTTACGGGTTTTTATTTATTTGTTTTTAAATTGGTGAAAGAATTCAGATATTTATTTTAAGTAATTTTTTTAAGTCATGAAAAAACAAAATTTTTCTTAAACATAAAACGAGATCAGTTCTAAAAATTACATTCCAGATGTATAACTCTAAATAAGTTTTTATATATTTATTATTTTTTTTAAGTAATTGTTGGTTTTACAGAAAAAAACACAAGCTTAAGCTCATAATTAATCAATAATCTCTAAATATTTTAATAAATTATTTTTTTAATGAAATTCATTTTCTAGATAGTGAGATGAGATTATTTTTTTAATAAACATATCAAAAATGTTTTAACTATTAATAACATGTATTAAAATTTAAATTTTAATAAACTATATCAGATATCAAGTTTTGATTTCTATCATATTAATTTATAAAAGAATTAATTTTTACAAAATTATGCAAGAAGATAGTTTGTAAATTTTGCTCCACCTGCTTTGAAACAGATTTTAAGACTATTTTTACCACTCCATTTTTCCATTTTGTTTTTTTATTCAATTTCTTTCAGTTTCCAATAATTTTTGAGGGTTTAGCATGAGGCCTTCCCACTTTTTAACGATTGGTTTATGTATCAGTGACATCACTGTGACTTCATTTCTATTGGCTCAATTTTGAGAACTATGGCTATTTTTAAATCATTGCATAACCAGGAAGAGCAACTAGTGTTTTAAGAAAAGTCGTTTTTTTTGCAAAATAGAATTTTCAGAAATGTTGATATAAATACGAAAAAATGTTATGGTAGAAACAGGGTATCTGCACACTTGAAAAGTCATGAATTTTGGAACTGAACAAAATTTGTCATGAAATGTAACGATTTTAGTTATTTTTTTAAAATTAATCATGGAAAGTCATGGATTTAGGTCGCCGAAAAATCAAATTTTTACAATGGAATTTACCCTCCCCCCTGCCCAATTTCATGGTGTTCCGAATATCCGAATTTGTAATAAAAACCCCACTCACAGTCATATTTGATTAAACTGTTTTTATCATGTTCTTTAAAAATTATGGTGTTCTTTCAAGAAATGAAAGGAAAAACTTCATTTCTAGAGCGAATTATCTTTTAAACTTCTGTGATTTTAGAATTTTTGCTATTATTTTTTATTTTTTTATTTTATCAATTTAAAGTCTTAGCTGAAGCAAGCCAGTCATTAGCGAATTTTTTATACAGTGAAACCTCCGTTAAGCGGACATTCATGGGACCAAAAAATTTGTCCCTTTATGAGAGTTGTCCGTTTACGGGAAGGGTACCCTAATAACGAAATTTAACACCGTAAATTGTTTTTAGAATATTCTCAAAAATGTAGAAACAATTAAATAATATCTACAAGGATACTGTAAATATCTACAAGAATATTTATTTAAACAATAAGAAAGATAAAAAAGAATATATAAAGAAGTTTGATATAAATACATAATTCTGGATGTAGCTACAGATAAATAAATATAATTTTCCTATTAGCATAGATACTCAAGTTAGACATATGATACCAAATAGGAGCGTACTGTCCTCAGTCCGTTTCAATTATTAGGTTCACATCCCCTTACACCTACTTATCATTTGATAGGGAACATGGTTAATACCTTCTTGGAAAATAAACCTCCCATGATTCACAGAAAAAAAAGTAATGCATACCTGTAAGTCATGAGGACCTATGGAGATGATTATTCACAATTGATCAGCTATCAAGTGTCTGAATAAATGTTTCATTTATATAAACACCTCAAAGATTATACTTCTGTTCTCTTTTTTTTACCCCAGTTGTGTTAAATACAGTCTTCAAATTGATAAGAAAATTAAAGAAATTTTCAATGGGGAAGAAGCATTGAGAGAAGTCATTTCAACTTGAGGGGTCTCATAACCTGTGTGGTCCAGATGAAAAGATCAAAAGATGCCGATATCAGAATTATTTCAGGAGTGCAGTACCATTTTCTCTCCTTTCTTTACAAAGATATGGCAAGGTGACAGGAGAAAGATTGATTTTTCGGTGGTGAAATAGCTTAACAATATTTTTAGTTATGGATAAGGCAAAAAGTTTTATTTACATGCTTTAAAAATGGTGAAAAGTTGAATTTTTTTAGCTTGCAATTTATTTAGAAAAAGAAGTGTCCGGTTTGTAGAGATTAAAAACAACGTTTCAGGACCAAAATGGCTGTCCGCGTCCGGTTACAGGAGTGTCCGCTTTGCGGAGAATGTATGTAATGGTTTATTCTTAGAAGATTCCCGGGGAATTAAAAATATGTCCGTATTGAGAGGCGTCCGTTTTGCAGGAGTGTCCATAACAGGAGGTTTCACTGTATTCTGAAATGAGAACAGAAAAATCATGAGTATTTCTTTCTTCTCCAATGAGCAAGAAAAGTATCTTCGGAATATAATTCTGTAGAAAAAAAAATTATTTGCTTTCATGGTATTTGTATTTTTGTGTACATTGTATTTTTTTCCAGCTGTTTTATTGCTTCAACTTCTTCTTGACTCTGTTTTTTAAATTTAAAATCTATAAATATGAAGATGCAGAGTATAACAGTTTTGGTTATACCTATCATTTCAATTAATGTTATTATAATGCTTTTTTAAATTTATTGTTGTGTTTTTGTCGAAGAAAATAGTAATTTCGTTAAGTCATGAAAAATTCTTGGAATTAGTCATGGAAAGTAATAAATTTGAAAACATTAGCAGATACCCTGTAGAAATGAAAAGGGGCACTGATAAAATATTGCCTAAATGTTCTCTTTGATGTTATAATATAGTGTTTGTGACTATTTTAAAATATTAAATGTATATGACAACAACAAACATTATTTATTTTTATCTGGTTTGTGAACTATCTGCATAAAGTGTGTATACATCTAAATGGGTGAGTAGTTCTAATTTTCTTTTATGGGAGAGGCCACAGTTCAACTCTCTAGAATGGATATTTATGCCATTGTTAAATTTATATAAGTAACATAACTTTCTAAATTTTCTTAACCTTTTGCTTTTCTTTCTTCTATGACCCAATGAACCTACTGGGCTATTGCGTTCTTTTCATAATCGCTACTAATTTACTTTCAACCCACTATATTAACTACTATGACCTATTGTGCTGTACTATGTTAATTTTACTCTTACTTTGAGAATTGTTTTTAATAAATAGTTTTTTTTAATCTCTTGTACATTCTTGCAGGTTTAACATGCAAACTATCTAAATCAATTATGTTTTTTTTTCTTTTCATTTTTATGGTTTATGATTTCATTCTACATTATGTCGCATTTTTTAAATAGCCAATAATAAAATCAGTACATGTTGTATGCTGCTTTTATAATGGGAAATGTCCAAAATGATATGTTAAAATATAGAATGCCTAGGTTATAAACGCGTAAATAGTTATTAGATTTAAATAGAATATTATGAAAATAATAATTAATTATCCTAATAATGAAAAAAGATGTTTTTGAATGTAAATAAAATAACAACTCATATGTAATCTATTTTTTAGGACTGAAAGCTGCTATTAAACTTGTTGATCCAGCTGTACTAGCTAAAGAAAAAGAAATAAAACAAAGAGTAGGTTTTTTCATCAATAATAAGCAAATGACAACTTTTTTATTTATTTATATGTGTATTTTATTTTAAAATGTTTAAATTTTTTGACACAACAAATAAAATATTTAAATGTTTCTTAACTAAATATCATTAATAAAATGTTAAGTGAAACTATGCATGCTTAAGTCAGAAAATAATAAAATGAATTCTTAACACGGGTACGGGAGGTCTTCTTCTTGAAGTGCAAGTACCCAATTATCATTCTGACATACTTTTATTGTATTATAATTAATAAATTTGTCTTTATAAAGATGGATGAGGAGAAGAGAAAAGAAAAAGAAAGAAAGAAACAAGAACAGGAAGCCCTGAAAGCAGAGAGGGAAGCGGCAAAAAGAAAACCTCCGAGTGAAATGTTCAAATCTATGACTGACAAATATTCCAAATTTGATGATAAGGTAAGGCTTCTTATTTCTGTTTTCTCTTTAACATTTCTTGCTGTGAAATTGAGTTTTTTTTTAAAAAAAAAGAAAAAAGAAGAAATTTAACTTCATCGATAGTTGGATTATTTTCATTTAGAAAAGATTAGGTTGGGCCAGTATAAATTTTCATTTGCAAATTGTATGATTTAAAAATTGTAGCTGTTATATACATTCAAAATGGCATCCCAGTTTTTATTCATAATTCGGAATTAAATTCAGAATATTAAATTATACTTTACAAAGGGAGAAACTAATTACAGTCAAACCCCGCTACAGTGAACCTTGAAGGGACCAAAATTTCAGTTCGCTATATCCAAGAGGTCACTATATCTGTAATGCAAACAATTTTAACCAATTTTTCCCAACTGTTCCCTTTTATTACGCATTATTTAAATAAATGACCCATAAAAAGAAATACAAAAATTATTAAAAGGCAATATGTAGTAACAAAAAATGATTTTTTATTACTCTTCCTCTTGCATACAAAAAATTTAGGAATGGCCTTTATTTAGGGAGTGGAAACTGAAAAAGAAGCAAACAAGAAAAAATGCTCATGGCTACATTCCACCCAATAGATGGTTTTAAAAATCCGTTTATGAATTGTAGGAATTTCAAAAAATGAAATATGGAAATTTCAAAATTATGAATGAATGAAATGTAGAAATTTCAAATTTACCAAAAATTGATAGAAAAAAATCAGTCAAAGAGGGGAAAAAGTTCATAATATCCAATTTCCTCTCTTCTTTTGGTTCACTATATACACAAAAAATGATATTATATGTGTATAGCAAGGCACAGGAGCGAATATTTTATTCACTTTACCCGTTAGTTCACTATAACAGGTTTGACTATATATATTTTCATGAAAAAAAATCTAAAACATGAACTTTTAAGACTGCAATTTTGGTATTGCGTATATTACTTCTATGTTCAAAATTGGCAAATTGTAGCTTGGTTTTTACTACAGGGTTCCCACGGTCCTTGAGAGTCCTGGAATTTTTTTTTGCTAAATTTAGGTCCTTGAAAGTGCTTGAAAAACGTCTTAGGTCCTTGAAAAACTTGATAGGTCCTTGAATTTGTCCAATACTGCCGGCGGCCCTTTTTATAAAACACCCGCGGATCTTTCTCGTTCTTTCTGTTTTGTTCCCGAGCTCTCTCACGTGGTTTTTAACGCCACGAGCACAGCAGACAATCAATGCGTTCGGGGCAAGACTCCACTTCATCTTCTGTCTCATATGCTTAGATCTTCTTTTTTCTTATCGAAACTGGAATACTCTCGAATTTTGTAACAATATGTACCTTGTAGTTTTCAATAAATTTGCCGTTTTACCATCCGCACTTGTCCGTACATTTGCGTCATTTCAAAACTTTATTGTAAAGCGTATTCGCAAAGGCACGGCTTCGTATTTGTGTTATGTAGTTTAGACTAGTTATGCCTGGGAAGTGCTATTTTAACCCCCAATGGATGGATAATCAAGCTTATAAAGAATGGATTTTATCGATGCCCGAAAAGAAGTTCAGAGCCAAGTGCCGATTATGCATGAAGGAGATCGATATCGCGAAAATGGAAGAATCTGCTCTGAAATCACAAATCAAAGAAAGGTAAAACAAAAAAGCAGTCTCATGCTCTGAGTTCTCTTTTTCCAAAGACATCAACATCTAATTCATCTGGTGTAAATACTCCTTCAACATCGTGTGCCCCATGTGAAACAGAAACTTTAGTGGCCGAGGTAACATTGTCTTCTTATCTGGTCAAAAGGAATGTGCTTGATGCTGAAATTCTCTGGAGTCTGAAGTGCATCACTAGTAATTATTCATGTAACTCCTGTGAAGGGATTAGTAAATTGTTCTCCAAAATGTTTGCTGATAGCTGTATAGCGAGACAATTTTTTTGTAGTGCCACAAAGTGAGCCTATTTGGGCTCCTTTGGATTGGCACTATACTTCAAAGGGATTCTTATAAATGAGCTGAAGAATGTTGATTGCTACACTGTACTCTTTGATGAGACGTTAAATCAGTCTCTACAATCTAAGCAGATGGACATTATGGTAAGGAATTGATAATAAAGTTTGCACTAAGTATCTTACCTCCCAATTTATGGGTCATGGAACTGCAGAAAATATTTTGTCCTCTTTTTACAAATGCATGGATGATGGTTAAAAGCTCTCTAAAATACTTCAATTATCCATGGATGGACCCTATGTCAATTGGAAATTCTATTAGAAGCTTCAGTGTGAATTAAAAGAGAAATATTCCCACCAGGTCATATTCATTGGCAGTTGTGGATTACACATAACGAATAATGCTTTTAAACATGGTGAAAATGGGATATGTTCCTTCTAATTTTTATTTTCAGAAAGAATTGTTGCTGCATAACATTTAGAGAAGGTTGTGTAAATTATGGATGAATAATTTCAGAAACGATGTTTAATAGAGGAGAGGAGGGGGTTATGGAATAGTCATGGAATATGGAATACCTAAGATTTAGCTCTGTCTTTCATGCAGCCTTCACATGGAAATACACAGGATTAAAGGATTTCACCATTAACACCTCATTACCATTAGTTATAGATTGTGCTGAAAATGATTTTGTGAATTAATATGTAAAACCAGTAGGGTTGTTTTTAAAAAAATATAAATTTTAGTCCATAATACATATACTCTCTTCTCTCTATATAGGCAAAGCATTTAGGTATTATATTTGAAATTAATTATTGCCACAACAAGCATTGTTGCTTCTAGTAAAATAGAAGAGAATAATTTTTAAAATTGGTCTTAGATTAAGGTCCTTGAAAATTTTGTTGAGGTCCTTGAGAAGTCCTGGAAAGTGCTTGAATTTCAATCTCATCATAGAGTGGGAACCCTGTACTAAGAAAAGTTTAACATTACATGAGAAAATTTTTTTTAGCTAGTCAAGTGAAAAAAATTATCTCACAACCTCACTCTCTTAAAAAAATTCATCTCCCACTGAAAGATAATAAATAAGCTGTTACTGAAAAAACTGTGAAAACATTGTATGAAGTTTTATTCTTATTCTGAAATCCTAAACGCATTTACTTTCATTTATAATCTTAAAAAGCAAAGTTTTTAAAACTGTTTGAGATAAAATGCGAATGAAACATTGAACGTCTATACTCATTTACAGTTTTTTGTGCTTATGTTAGACCAGAATGGGTTGTTGACTTCCAGTTAATGTTGACAATCAAATAGTCGCTTTGGTAAATGTTCGAACTATATACTAGGTCTAGTTGAATGCCACTGCCGATATACCCTACACCAATTTTTTTTAAAAGGTCAAGTGCCACTACCCAGTATGCATTTAAGCAGTACTCCGAACGCTGATGTTTCTCCCAATCTATCCTCAGCAGATATTGAAATGTTGAATGAATAAAATAATATCAACAAATAAATTAATATAAAATCGGATATAGCAAATATTTCGGACATTCATCAAAGCGACTATGTGATGGTTGACATTCACAGGTGAAAGTAGACATTCTCTTGATTTCGATCATTCACGGTAACTCATATACTGAATATCACTAAACACTTTAATTATTGATAATGTATGCTTATGCAAGAAATGAACCCCGACACATAATTTGATCAGGTATTTTATTCCAGTTGTGACAATTAGGAGAATGCTATATCGAGTTTTTGGAACGTCGAAAACACTATCCCGGCAACAACAACAAAAAATTCACATAAAACAGCAATGTAAAAAAAAAAAGAAAAATAATAGAAAAAAAAAACTTTTATTGCATTATGAACATCTATTAATTTACTTAATTTTGCAATTAAATAAACAATTAGTGTACCCTTATAAGTATTTGGGAAAGTGCAAAATGATTACGTAACTAGTTGTGGTGTGCCTCTGCAACCATCGAGTCTCCTCCAAAAGAACTGAAGTTAGGAAAACCCAGCCTGCTAAACCGGTTGGAGACCCCACTCGTGCTTCACTTCCAAACTGACTCGTTTTAAGAGAGGACGCGTTCCTCAAACTTGATTTTCTTAATTTTTTACATTGTAAGCTTTTAATTACCTGTTTCTATTATACATTAAATTTTCTTAAACTTAAGCTTTTAGTCTTTATTTCCTGTAATTTACTAGATTAATGATTTAACCAATTTTTTTATCATTCAATTAAAAAATATAGCATGTGACTCTTAACTTTAAAGCACACATGTGCTATATAATCCTATAAGAAAGCCAAAATTCAACTATTTTTTGGGAAGGGTAACATAAATTATTTTAGAGAGGTAACATAACTTACAAATAATTTAACATTAAATACCCCATAGCTGCCGCAACTCGTGCCTAATTAAATTTGATAGTAAGTACTTCTGGTGTTGTGGTAATATATAACTAATATAAGAACAGTATTAATAGTTTTTAACTGCCAGTCAAAACGGACTATTTAATAATTTAAACCGACGGTTTTGTAGGACGTGAAGCTGAAACAGGACTGAAATGAAAGGTTAAAAACAACAGTTCATATCAATAATTCTTTGTTTGATATGTTTTTTTTTTTTTTTTCAAATATACTTATTCAGGCTGTATTTTCAGGGAATCCCTACGCATGATGTAGATGGAAAAGAACTAAGTGAGAGCCAAACGAAGAAAGTTATGAAATTATATACAGCTCAAGAAAAAAAATACAATGACTATCTAAAAAGTGTTGCTACTAGTTGATTCTGCTGAATTTCATTTATAATTTATTAAAGGCCTACCTTTTTATTCCTCAAAAGTTCCATTTATTTTTTTTCACTCATTTTTCTAATTATTAATTATTATTATTTATTGCTATTAATTGTTATTCTTTGCCTCACAATCTTTATTTTTCAGTTTTTCACTTTACTTAATATATTAAATGTAATTTTCATTCTCTTCTTTCAGAGTGAAGAAATTTGATCGCTTGTTTTTTTAAACTTTCCTCAAATTTTTTTAATAAAACTGATTTGCATGGTGTGTAGCATTTTTAAAAAGTGCTTAAAGATGCTTATTTTTGTTTTTTAAAAGCCCTTAAAGGTGCTTTTTTCATTGGGTGTTTTTAGAAAGTGCTTAATTTTTCCTCTTAAAAAATATTTATTTCTTTAACATGTTGATTTTCGCCACTTTTTATGCAAAAGCGTGCTATTCCGGCGTACCGTCATCCATCGTGTATGAAGAAGTCCGGTGTACCGTCATCCATCATGTATGAGGCCAATCATTTTACATGTTTGATGAAATACTTGCAAGTCCACATGTGTGTCTACTGAGAGATTCTTGCACTCTCATGTGCAACTCTGCTGCAATTTGCAAGAAATTATTAATTTCATACCTCATTTTCCAACCTCTGATATTGAATCGAAAAAATCTCTCGAAAAATTTTATAATAGCTAATATAATCAAGAAAAGAATTCTTTGTCGGAAACTGGTTATTTTATCATGATCATGTAGTCTTTAAAAATTATTTTGCATTTTGTTATTGCATATAATGCTTAAAAATATTTTTGAATGCTTAAAAGGTGCTTATTTTTGTTGAAAAATTTGGCTACACACCCTGATTACCTCGATTTTTTTTAATAATACTGTGCTTTTAGCACCGCTTGATTTAGCTACATTTGTTTGTAAATTTCTCATTCTTTTGCTTAATAGTTTATTACTTTCACCTAAAATGTAATCACTTTCTAATTGGCTGGAGTGCTTAAATCTTGCCCCTTGATGTCGATACAAATTTCTGTAGTTTCCTGACTTAAACAAGCGGAATTTATTTCCTAATAAAATTGATCGTAAACTGAAATTCCATCTCTTCTGGCTTGCTAAAGTGCTTAAACTTCGACCGGAGCTGCATGGAGAATAATAATAATAATACTAGTTACAAATATTTTCTTTGCATTTAGAATTTTAACTTGTTAAAAAACGTGCTTAAAATTCTGTGTGTTAAAAAAGTTTAGACCCATTTTATTGACAATTGAGATATAAACTACTTTTCGATCTTAGCTAACTGACCTAAACAAAACTGAAAAATTTTAAAAGCTATTTTTTTTCCAAATGGACTAAATAGGAGAAAATAATTGTTATATAATATGATGTGTTGTTATGGAATACAGTGTTCTCCCTTAGAAGGGCTGTCTACCCTTTGATACTGATAAATGTGCCCTCTTTGCCCTTTAGCTAAAATAAGCCACCATCCTTTAAAAACACTGCCTTTTTATTTTGGTCTTGGGTTCGATCCTCTGGCCGGGCAATGTCGACTCAACCTTTCGTCCCTTCGGTGGGTGGCATGGCCGGATTAAGAACCTCCGGAATTCTTCATTTATTTGAAATAGCTTTATCTTTCATAATTGGTAAATTTATTTTTACACACAATTATATAAGTTGAGATCATTTTTATAGACGCTACATTTTAATCATCGATCCGTCTTTTCATAACGCCAACGGAAGTGGCATTTCCATACCAAGAAAATGACACTGACTGAAATTAATATCGTTTGAGAAAAAGCATGTACTTTTTGATAACAATTTTTGAAGTCAATGGAGGTAACCTCTAAAAACGACCCTTTTACAGTGGAACGGTCGCTCTCGATAGGTTTCACTGTACAAAAGATCACTTGATTGAAGTTTTGATTGACTCTTCAACTAGCCAAATGTGCGAACAAACAACTCTTTATTAATTTAGGTAGTTTTATTAACAAATAAATAAGATATACAGGTATGATATATTACAATAACATTATAACACTTAAGAATAAAAGATATAAATGTATCATGCTGCTGTACATTCCAGTAAAGCATTCAGTCAATGCGTATCAATTCAGTATTATTTTGTATAAAATATGTTTTATGACAAGTATGATGGTAATACGGTGCTCATCAATACATGGAATATCATTTAATTTTATTTTTAAAGACAAAATATAAAAATAGAATTATAATAAGGAGAATAACGAGAGACACCAATCATTTTGTAAAAAAAATGTGATAGCTAAAACCCGGTTTTTCATCTCTTAAAAATGACCATCCTTAAAAACATAGCAAAATTCCCTTCTAAGAGAAAACCATACCCTTATATTTAAACGAGAATTATTATTTCGTTCCTGATAATTTTGTAATTATTATTTCTTTTCTCAATTTTCATGTAAGAAAACGGTACAAGTAAAAATATATATTAAAATACCGATATTAAGAAAAACAGAGGAGCCATTTGAATATGCTATGTTTGAAACAAATAGAGAGAATAAGATTGCAGAAGATATTGTATAAACTGCAAATATGCTAGAATTAATTCATTAAAGAATTTCTATTATTACAATAATAAGAATTTAAAATTAAAAAAAAACTGGAGTGTAAAGAAAATGCCCTAAAATAAATTTAAAAATATACTCCGAAATTTAAGAAAATGCGCTAAAAAAAAGAAAAAAGTCTAAAAATAGGAGTGACATTAGATCATTTTTAGATAGAGTTATATAAATATGTGCGTTTATGGAAAACAAATAATGTGTACAATTAATAACTCAATATTTATGATGTTCCTCTATTTCATTGAACAAGTAAGTGACTTCGATAGGTTCTGTACAGTCAGTCTCTATCAGAAATTCTGTTCCCACAGGCGCTTGAAGTTCAAAATATTCGAGGGTTGAGCTGCTAACCTCTGCCAACGATTCTGAAAGAGACAAATGGTGATGAACACATTTTTCTTCTTCTTTCTTTTGTAGTTTTCGTGTACGCTTCGAACTGTACCACTAGGCATACGCTCTTACAAAACTGATCTAGTTCGTTAAAATTTCAAAAAGTTCAATCGATATAGCTATGTATTTACCCATGTAAAATTATATTCTTCAAACTGATGCAAAAAATCGTTTGCTACAATTCGAAATTGTTTCGACCATTATTAAATAAAATAATAAATATTTAATAAAAGTACTTTTTTTTGTGTAATTATCTTTGAATAAAAAAATTTTATAATTGTGTACAAAAAATTTTCAATGTTATTCAGGGTGGTCCGTTTTTATTTTGCGCACTGTTCATAGGTTCGGACAATCTGTTCTTTCTTTTTTTTTTATTCTCTTTTTATTTAATCATAGTTTTCATTTTTAAATTAAATCAGTTTTTTAATTTAAATTATCGTTTTTAGTTTCACAATTGTAATTTAAATTACAGTTTTCAGCTAATTGATTTCTTCCTTCTCTCTCACTCATTTGTTTTTCATTGACAATATTTTTTCACTTACATTGCAAGCAAGGTGCTTCATAATGTCCGCCCTTACTATACGTATTGAAATAAAATATCCGTGTGAAAAATAAGGTTCAAAAGAGTATACGCATTATGAGTTGCGAAGTAATATTTCAATGAGGAAAAAACAAATACAATAAAAATCAAACGAATCACCACTGCAGAAAACGCCTAAACCATTTGAATTACCTGATAACGTTTCTAATGATGCCTTTTTTTTTTTAACTCTCTTTTTCCTGAGGTATGTTTTTGGAGATTTCAGACACATCTTAACGAATATATGAGGATTCGTTAAATTTCGAAAGAACTTCTTCCTAGCTTATAAATATTGCTTCGTATCCCTAAATGTGTATGTTTTTTTTCCAGAGATTATAAACATAGGTATTTAGGGCAGTCACAGCGAACACCCGGTATAATTAGATTTCAAATAGTTCTTTGTCCATGGTATAAAAGAGTTGTTAAACATTGATTGATACCCACTAATAAGTACAAAATACGAGATTTACTGTTTGAAAGCATTGTTGTGATAGGCTCGAAAGTCCTAACACGAATAATAAGAAAATAATTCCCAGCTAATACGCTGTTTTGAGCAAATACCAACGCCATCTAGGTAAGTTTTTTTGTAACCAGAGAATAGAGAAAGAATGAGTAAGGTCAGTGTTGTGCTACTTCGTGCTGTAGTGTAAACGCTACAGAGATCTGCTGTCTCTGGTGCCTACTATGTTATAGGGAAAAGTAAAGAATATTTATAGAGTTTGAGTCCTTGTGGTTAATGAATTATGACATTTGCTGTGTGTGTGAGATAGAAAAGCAATGGAATGTTACATTACCTGTATTGCTTGGAGGCCAGGCTTCAGGTATGAAACTTACAAGTGCATTTTCCGAAGAGGTTTCATTTTGTTGACAAAGAAAATAATTGGTGTCTTTATGCTCTGTCATTCTAAATTCTTTCTCCCGTCTGATCAACAGCTTCACTTTCTGTGGAAAAAAAAGAGAGGAATTAACAAGAATAAATATTCTAAAAAATTCTTTATTGCTGCATTTTATATTGCCTGCTACCGTGCCTTCCTTGAAGTTGGAATCTTGCGTTCGCAATTTCGATCAGCGACCACTTTCCCACTAGCCAGATCTCTCAAATCTCTACTCTGGCACATTGCCTGATGACAATGCAACTTCAAACTGTTCCTGACAGCCGCAAAGAGTATTATCATCCAAGGAAAATTATCGCCAATCAAACTTTCGATCACTTTCTGATTAACAATTCAATCTATCAATCAATCCTCTGGAGTTCTATATCAGGTAACAAAAGAAATTTGGATCATTGACCTGACCCTTGAAAGCAGATCTTATCACCATCAGAAGATATTTATCGTCCATTTCCAACTAGTTAGAGTGCTTACATTTTAACTGGAACTTTGTACCTGATGGCAATACAGGTTACAACTGCTCTTTATAAGGTACTTTATAAGGCAAGCAAAAAGTACTGCCCTTTAATCGCCAATCGAAATTTCGATCTCTCCTTGACACAAACGAAACAACTGACACAACACTTAAGAAGAAAATAGCAAGCTTAAAATAAAAATAAATATCTTTACATTTTTCAAGTAAACTAAAGAAGATGAAAGTAATTTTATTTTAGTCAGGTCTAAAATCGAAAAAAATACCGTTTTCGTAATGAACTTTTTATCACCACAATGCTACCCTGCATTTTCCGTTTTAAGTCTAAAAACATAATTTTTTTTTCTTCGCTTCAGTGTACTTAAAATTTTTTTTTTGCATAAACATGTACAGTGCGCAAAATACAAAGCAGACCACCATGAATAACTATCGGATTTTTATTTTCTAGGAATCAATCTTAATGATTCGAGGGGGTAATCTCAAATTTGCTAATTTTAGCCTGGTTGGTAGGGCACTGTGCCCATGTCAAGAGGTCGTGGGTTTGATGCACGCCGGCCGAAGACTACCCGTATAGTGAATGGTGACTGATGCAAGTTAAGTCTGTCATGTCACAAAGTCCACCATGTTCCCATAACAAATCATACCTCTGGGGGTACTAATCCAGGAGTTTCCTTGTCTTCTGGATTGGTTCAAAATAACAAGGCTACGGAGTTGAACATTAGTAATGGTTAATCCAAAATTGAGTCGGCTGTTCAACGACGGTTATAAAGAAATATCTATGCTAATATTAGATAAGAAATCATACACAAAAGCGTACTTTCTCTGAATAAACATACCTTCTCTTTGTCAGATTTCTGACCGTAGAAAACTACCTTAATAGTATAGGTCGTTTTACGCCCCCCCCCCAAATATGGGTATGCGGGAAAATGTTATGGACTCGTTGCAGCGACAGCCCTCCCCCTCAGAGGAGAGGGGCGATTCAGAATCGTGCACACGCGCTGGTCGAGGGACCCGGCGAAGCCCTTCCGTGCCGTGGCATTTATTAAAAACCAAAAGAATTGTTTCAGTAAGATGGCAACAGGCCAATAAAACAAAGTACAACATAAGAACAATTAAAAACATTATAAAATCAGGTCTAAGGACCCTTAAAATAAAAATTGTAAACATATTACCCCATCGAATGAGTTTGACAACATCAATAAAAAAAACTGAGCTGAGGCTGGTGTACAAGAAAAGGTGTGAAATTGTGTCACTCAATAAAATTATAGATCGCAATTATATATAGTCCCTGCAGACACTTTTGTATTCTTACACTTTCCCTTTTAAGGGTTTTGGAATTTTTTTCTTCTCTACTTTTTCCAAGAAACGCAGGTGGTCGGCATCCTTTGTAATGTCCATGCGGGACGCTTTACTTCTGCACTTTTTCTTATTTCATAACTGTAACTACCTTAAATTTTTAACACTAACTTTTACTTTATATATATATACACTAACTTTTATACAAATAGTAGTAAAAATTAAAAACAAACTGTTTATCATACTGGGCAATTAAAATAATTAAAGTTATTTTAAGAGGTTAAGAGGCTACAATTAATTTAGAAGTTTGCTTAAGAAAGTATTTAACTAATCCAGTGTAAACGGTCACGCATCCAAACTATTCCGTCCAGTGGCTTTAGGAATAGCTTATCATAGTTATTTAATACCTTAAAAAATAAATCAGAGCTCATTCTAAAAACAGAAAAATTAAATAGAAATCAAAAAATTAATGTACCAAGTTTTTAAAAATATTTTTAAAATAAAATTTAAGAAATAAACTAGAAAAATCGCTAGGAATTCGAAATTATTAATTAAATCGTTTTTATATTTATCAGTATCTTTTAAAAATTCGTAATAGTTAGATAGTTAGAATTAAAATCAATGCTTTTTTTAATTGGAAAGTTAAAATCATTTCTGTTGTCAAAAAGTTTAAATGTAACTTTACTATTTTCATTAATATTAAGAGTTANTAGCATAATAAATAGAAACAAAAAAAGACACGAAGAAAATTAAGAAAAACAATAAGTTTTATTTATTGCGCATAAGTTGCAAGTAAATAGAACTCATAAAATAAGTTCAAAATGTAGAGAAAACAAGGGAAAAATTACAGAATAATGAAAAAAAAAGGGGAAAAAAAGAAGATAATAAAAATAACAAAAAAATCGGAAGAAAATGTTTAAAAAAAAATTTAAAAATCCGGATTTTAAAAATTTTTTTTAAACATTTTTTTCTTCTGTTTTTTGTTATTTTTATTATTATTTCCCCCCCTTTTTTTCCATTGTTCTGTAATTTTTCCCTTGATTTCTCTACATTTTGAACTTTATTATTTGTTTATGTGTTTTATTATAACCGTGATATATTTTTGCTTTGTTTGTCTGGCAACTTCGATATATAATTAGCTTGTTTATGTTTTACATGGCTTCGTGCCTGTCCTTGGGTTAAGTCTCTGTGCAAATATAGAGTGAAAGAATTGAAATCTCTGAGAAAGAATCTTTTTGAAAGAATTTAGAATATGTCACTTAAGAGAATTGAAGCTTGAAAGGCTTGGCTTACTCAAAATAGAATGGAAAGAGCAGTTGCTAACTTAAACAAATGCCACGTTTCAACAACCAATCAGGATCGAGATACCTACACTACGTCACTTGCAGGTATCCCATTGTATTTTATTATTTTTAATATATAAGCTTTTTCTTGTTGTTTTTTTATTTTATATTATTTAAAATATTGATAAAAAATTTATATTAAACAAAGAATGATGACATCAAGTGAAAACTATGAACTGGATCATTTTATAAGTCAGTTGTCAAAGGATTGTTAATTTTTTATAAGTGGAGGGAATTTGGAGATCGCTCCAAAAGCTCTGTGAGGCAAAATTCAACCAACGTATGTTTATGTATTGAAAATGAATAAATATGCACAAGACGATGATTGAAAGAAATTGTTATTGCGTAAGTTTTCCGAACTTAACTTACTGTACAATAATATGGAGGTCTTTGGGGGAATCAATTAACATAAAGTATTAATGCTGATTTAGTTCTTTGCAAAAAAAAATAAATAAGAATAATAGCTAATTTTACTCATGAGGATAATAGCAATATCTGTATTCATAACTGTATTCAGTTGTATCCATAGCAGCAAATGTTTATTTATATCTTGTTTTAATATATACCATATAAATAGAGATGGAAATATTTTACGCATAATAAACATAGTTATCATTTGAGAGTTGAAGAGCCAGGCAGATACTTGACATTTTTGATTGGAATAAAATTCTCAGTATGTGTTTTTTTATGTTAAACTATTAGACACGTGTTTTTTTATAGTAAAATTTTTTTTTCTTCTCAAAGTCATTAATATTTTTTTTGAGGGTGGGAGAGCTTCAAATGAAAGATTCCCTGGAATTTTGAGAAAAACACATATATTGGCATGCGGCAATATTTTTATGAAAAGAGTGAACCTTGACGTTTGTCTTTATTTTATGTTTTTCTATTTTCACACTGACTATTAAGACATGAATCTTCTTCTCAGTGGACCTTTGCTTCCTAGGTCAAAGGCAATTAAAAAACTCTTCGAAATAAGGCTATTTTCTTGGACTTCGACAGTCAAAATTCACTTGTACTAAGAGTAAACCACAAATGTGTACATTTCTGTGAATAGACAGTAAGAGTATCACAATTGGCGTGACCTTAAAGTAGCAAGAAACTGACTGCCTTCGCCAAAACTAGACGCATATGAAATTTGCTGGAAAAGAAGCCTTAAAAGTTTTGTGAAAAGAGTGAATTGCAGTTGTGTGCTTCAGATATTCATGGTGGGCATAAATCACATTTTTTTAAATAAACAATTTGCAGCTTGCATATAACAATCTCTGTATTCAACTAATCAAGTAAGGAGTAAGGTCATGTTATATAAGGGTTGAATCGATAACCATGATTTTGTTTCTTTCATACTTAGGGCTTTTCTTTCCCCAAAAATTTCATACTCGTCTAGCTTCGGATAAGGAAGTTGATGAGCTTGAAAGTTGTGCAAAATTTCAGTTTCTCGCTAATTTAAGGTTAATTTTAAGGTCACGTCAAATGTACACCAGACATATTTTTTACTTTTTTTTTACTCACTAGTAAAAATTCGAAAAATATATGCGTTTGTGGTTCGCTGTTGACACGAATCGATTTTAGCGGATAAAGTCTTAGAGAACAGTCTTGTTTCGAATATGTTTAAATAACCTTTGACCTTGGATGCAAAGATCCACTGAAAGGATTTATGCCATAACAGTTAGTGTGAGCGCAAAATAATGGTCAGTATGAACGCAAGTAATCAGTATGAACGAAAAATAATGTTCAGTGTCGTGGTTCACTCATTTCACAAAAAGTCTTGCCGTATGTAGTTAGATCTTTCTTCCTCAAAATTTCAGAGGCTCTTCAATTTTTACCCCAAAAAACTTGAGAAAATATTTTATGTATGAGAAATAAAATCAAAAAATATCAAGTATCCCAACTTGCCTGGTTTACCCGATTTAAAAAAAAAATTTTTTTTTGTCCTAAATTCGTAAAGAAACAAAAAACAACATAAAAAGCATCATTTCTCGTGTACTAGGAAATATTGATTTATGAGTTTCGTGGCAGGCCTATGCCAAGTCCGTACGCTGCTTAGTTTCTTTGTCATTCAGTTAAATTTTAGCAATGGAGATAGTGAGAAAAAAAAATAGTGCGTGGAGTCCCTCCGCACGGAAGAAGTTAAACTTCGTAACCTGCGACATTAATTGTAGAAGAATCAGCAGTCGTAGAAGGATCACCAGTTCTATTCAACGACTCTTTTTCCTAGCTCCGCTCGCTTCCGTGCTCTGTAATAACGGTAATTATTGTGTATTTTTCCCTCATGGACCTCTTGAACCAGTGGAAGTGCTTGTGGTTGCCTCATCGTCTCGCCATGGAAAATGTATTTGTATTAATAATGTATGTGAATGTGTCATAATGTAATTTCAAAAGAGGAAACCTAACAATCAATTGATATTCACGAGAGACGTACCTTGACATAACTTTATAAATCCATGGCATTGTCCGTGGGATTGTTTTCACTCATTTTTTACAATTGTTATCCACTAAATTTGAAAATAAAAAATACTATCCTTTTAAATTATATGTGTATCAAAACAAACTGAAAAAATATTTATAGAAAAACAATACTTTTATGACTTTTATTTGTTAGTGAGAACCAAAACAATATGGAAGAAGGTAAACTGGATCCTACCACGTGATTTCCCGGCCAATAAAAATGTAGCGTTAAACGTTTAACGCAACCTTGTTGGAAGTCGCATAAGAAGTATCACTTCAAAAATATAGAAATTTCTCTCTCTTTTTCTTCCCATCGAATAGCATTCCTAGCATTTGAAATCAATCAGGAACAAATGTTATAGTATGTATAAAGTATCCGATTCATTTACCTGATGGAGTGCTTCGTTCTTGATTTCCTTTGTGGAAGTATCGCTCAAAAACCAAACGTTCTTCCTCTCTATTTTTTTCTTTTCAAATAAAGGGCACACGGACAAAGTATGGCGAACTGTATTCTGAAAGAGAATTAGAGTTCACTTTAGAATTGAACTCTTCCAAAAACATCAAACCTTAGTTATTTAAAATGCATAGAAATCATGACGTAATGTATATGTTACAGTGAATGACTTCTCGGGTGAATGCTGACAATCACATGGTCGCTTTGGTATATATCCGAAATCTACACTAGGTCTACTTATTTTCAGGAAAACGGTCATAAAAGTGCCAATTTTTTTTGGCTTTTGTATTTGTATTACGTATTTGATTAGTGCTGACATCTAGTTTAAAATAAACTAACTATCTACAATTACCTTAAAAATATCGTGTTACTGCCATCACATGTGTAAAATGAGAAATAAAATGTTTTCCGGGCAAAAGAAGTGAATTAGTTTTATTCTTATAGGCGCGTTACTACTGAACACTCCATCCCGTCAATATCACGGGAGCGAGAAATAGGGGGCGAAAACTCACCCGTCATTTTCACGGGAGCGAGAAGGAAGGGGTTAAGTGCCACTGCCCGGCATACCCTACATCAGTGTTTCCCTAACTTATAGCTTTTGTGTACCCCTTCTAAATTTTTCGTAACGCTGTGTACCCCTGATAAAAAAAATGAATGCATTTTTTACTGTAAAAAAAATTGCACGAAAGTTAAAAATCACAACTGGCTGTTGACACCACTAAATATTAACTGTCTAAATATTAACTGCTAACTCTGCAAAAAATAGCCAATTGAAAAATACGTCATCGTAAATTTTGTCTAATCTAGCTTTGTTTTTGAATAAATTTTTTAAAATTTTCGTTTGTTAAAAGATATTTCGCATAAGAGCGCGTACCCCCTCTATACTGTTCCCGTACCCCTGAGGGTACGCGTACCATACTTTGGGAAGCACTGCCCTACATCAATGTTTTTTAAGGTTCAGTGCCACTGCCTGGTATGCCCTACATCAATGTTTTTTGAAGGTCAAGTGCCATTGCACAGTATGCATTTAACCAGTACTCAGAGCATTGACGTTTCTGTTAATCTATCCTCACCAGATATTAAAATATCGAATAAATATAATAATATCAACGAATAAATTAACATCAAATCGGATATAACAAATATTTCTGACATTCATCATAGCGACTATGCGATTGTTGACATTCACCGGTGAAAGTTGACATTGTCTTGACTTCGGTTATTCAAGGGAACATAGTCACTGTACTATTGTTTTTTAATCAAAGGTTTCACGAAAATGTATATGCTGCATCGTTTTAAAACTTCTTTTTAAAAAAAATCACTATACATGACAATTTAAATACGCCAATAGAGCTAGAATTCGAAAAAGAGTATTCAATAGAGTTCTAATCTCGAAGTAATCTCTAAGGAACTGCAAAAGCAGCTACAGGGATTGGCGAGCGCAACCTCCACACGGTATTTTATAAGTAGTCTAAGCGCATGAAATTCTGTTTTAGGAGTAATTAAGAGATATGTATCATATATATTTCAAATTTGAATCTATAGTGGTTGACAAGTGAGTAAGACAAACCGATCCTATTCGTGAATTAAACAAATTTTTACACTTATAATTGCTACCACTTTCTTATTTTTATTATATTTTGTATTAAAAGGCTTTTTCGTAAATTAGTTTCTCTTCATAGTGAAACCGTGTGGAGGCTTTCAGTTATAGGAGGCATAGGTTGGTGTAATTTAATTAACTTATGCTGGTACCAGCATGCATTAAGGACAAATTCTTTACTTTAAAGTTTGCAGAGAAACAGAATTCTTACCCAAGAATTAATTGATTTTACTGCTTTCTCTAAAAGTTGTGTGGCTGCGAAAATTAATTCGAAGTCATTTCTCACATTAAATGCGAATGCGTTAACAACATTGAAATGTTCCGAAATATTTTGGGAAATAGGGAAAGTGGATCTCAAAAAAAAGTTCGTTAAATAGAAAATTCACTTCTCGATTGGGAAGTTATTTTACGAAGAAATTTCCAAAGTGATGTTGGTTCCTCGAAAAAAAATTCGCAAAATAGAGAAATTTGCAAAACGGAAGTTCGTTAGATAGAAGTCCGACTGTAATTTCGAAGTTAGAGTTAGCAAAAAAGTGCAGGTTAGCTTGTTTTCTTCATTATTTATTTTGCTTTTGCCAGCCTCGCTAAATCTTACTCTTAAAAATTCTGACAGATATATAATGAAAATGGCTCACCTTCCAATTCGCTTGCTGCGTCTGGTGAGGTATACATCTTTTTCTGGAAAAAGAAAGTATAAAAAAGAAATGAAGTTAGATATATTAAGAGGAGCGACACTAGACCGCGGGAGAAGTCCTTCATTGTACATTTTCCCCCCACACAAATTGGTAATTTAAAACTTCAATTACGTAAAAACTGATTTCACGCAAACCGAGAATAAACCATGAAATTTTAAACACTGAAAGAAAATTTTTTTCTCTCTTCAAAATATCAAAATTTACATGGAATAATTGTGCAATGATAAGTATAATAGATAATTAATAATATTGGGAAATAATTCTGAGCCATAACTTGTTTACATTTTGATGCATTAAAATGGTTTTTCGAAGATCTGTCATCAAGGAAAATAAAAAAGCCCCATTCTAAGTGCCTTTAAAGTAAAGATGTGATTTTTAACAATACATATAATCTTGACGGCAAAAATTTATCTGGTCTTTAGAACAGACAAACAACTAAGGTCTGGTTTCTTAGGACAAGCGCCTTATCTCAGCGTCAGCGGGACGTCAACGTCCCGCTGACGCCAACAAAATACTGGTTTGTTAGCTCAAGGCCTGGTTTCTTAGAACTAGCGCCTTATCTGGGCGTCAGCGGAAAGTTGACGTAGAGCTGACGCCAAAAAAATACTTTTTTGTTAGCTCAGCGTGAGCAGTCGGTCCAACGCAGACATTATCTCTCATTGCGCATGCGTTAATAACGTAAACAAATATTTATTTTGAATTTGTATTGATTTTGTTATTGTCGACCAGTGTTTTAGAGAACAAATAATGACTTTGTCCAAGAAAAAACACATTATAGCTAAGCTAAATGAAGAGTGCTATGTTTAATGTCAAAATTAAAATATTGGCTGATTTCAATGTGCTGTTGGATGTTGTCCGCCATTGCTTCTGTGGTTAACGTCACGTTGTAATCCAACTGCAGTTGAGTTGGACGGCAATTGTAGTTCAAGATGAGCGTTCGATGACGCATATTATCAAACTCACAAATGGACCAATCAGAGGTTAGCGCTGATTTCCAGCTGACGGCGTCCTGTCCTAAGAAACCAAGCCTTCAGATATTTTAAAAGATAAAAAACCTTTCAAAAATGGCCAATTTGGCGATATTTTTCCTCCCAGAGGAAATTTAACGAAATAACTGCCTTATTCTCAGTTTTTGCAAATTTTTATGTGCCCAGATAATGCAGTATTCGAGTAACCTTTTAAATATTAAAAAATTAGACAACAAACGCTTTTCATTCTCACAAAACTATGGCTTTTCTCCCTATGGAAGTTTTGCGCTATTTTCATAATGAGCGTAGACAGCGCTTACTTGAGGCTAAATTTGCCTAATAATCATGAGCAAACTACTGCAAACTGTCAGCAGTTATGACAATACCATATTACTCGCAAAAAGCACCATTTCATATGGCGACAGAAACTTCGAAGGACCACCTTAAAAACCTTTTCAGTCTTTAAAACTTCATGGTTTACTTAAGGTTAAAATTTTAAAATACAAAATGGAGGTTAAACAAAATTTGTGATGAAAAATTTCTTCCACGATATAGCGCCTTCTTAAGCTGTCGCGTTAAGTTCATAACGGAGCAGTAAATGAAATAAGAATTCTTACTGATGAATCCACTGATAAATCATTTCCACGGATGCCTCGCCAATTTCATTCAAACACTCAGTAATCATCTGGGTATAGAAATGTCGAACATTTTTTTTCAAAGCAGAACATTTCTTGGGTTGGCCTTTAGGCTTGTCTCTCCGAAGTTCTAAATGGGATAGGGAAAAATGGAATAAGAATAAAAGAATACATTGCAGTTGACATTTTATACACTTACCATGAAGCTTATAAAATCCAAGTCGTAATTTCTCAACAATATTTTTTGTTACGTTTCTAAGAATTTGCTTTTGTTTGTGCGAAAAGAAAATCTAGCAATCGATGCTTCGATCTAACAAACTAGAATACTGAAATCTCCAAATTAGTCTAATGAGTTCCAATCGTTTCCTGACAAGCGGCGTGTGTCACCAATGTGAATTTATCATGAATCATAATTTCTGACAAACTCAAAACTCTACTTAGAGCTTCGCCCCTGATGAGAAGAAAAGCTTCAATCGTTTCCGGACTAGTAGCATTTATTTTATTTTATAACCGTCGTTGAACAGCTGTCCCAGTTTTATGGATTTACGACTACTTACGTTTAACTCCGTAGCCTTGTCATTTTGAACCCAATCCAGAAGACAAGGGAACTTCTGAATCGAGTATTGGGAAAAATTTACCTTCATGGAGGATTTTTTGATGGAGCTAACCCGCATTTTCGTTACATGGAGAGCAAGACCACGAGAACCTCTCACGGTTAGCCTGATGGCAAGGGGACTCTAACCCATGACGTCTTAACGTCTAGCTTTTGTATACTTTTTTGAATACTGAAGTTCCGAAAACTTTTCACTGTAGAAAATTCTAAACTTGTACATTTCAATATTAATTTGAAACTGAAAACAGTTCACATATTTTTCGTAATCACACTATTCTAAATTTCAGTTGTTGAGAAAAGTAACTGTTGTAAGTTTTGTTTTAAAGTCTTTCCCACCAGATGGTTAAAGCTATGTGTTGTAAAACAATATGAAATAGTAGTCTGCCACTGAACGCCGGATGTAAAGCATCGGCTTCGATGAAGATAATTTTGTATTTTTAATTCTCTAAAGGGCGCCACCCTAATAATATGGAATTTGTAAAATAAATGTATATATTTTTGATTGTTGATGAAACCCATCATTTTGTGTTTTCATCAATGTTCAGAAGCAGAACAAGTATAAGCTTTTTATTTTATCACAAAAATATAAAATGTACAAAAAACAAAGAAAAGAGTAAGAAAATGAGTATAGTCATAGAAAAAGTTAAAATTATAACATAGTATTTGTCAGTTAAAATAAAACTTTTTGTTTAAGTCATTGTTAACAGTTCAAATTTCCCCGAGGCAATTCTAAACCTTAATTTCGTTCTAAATGTCAGTATTCAGACACACAACAGAAGTTTAATATGAAGTTGTAAAATGCTAAAATTTGGTATTTGGCGATACAATACTTATACAGGGTGTTCCAAAATTCTCTTTACAACTTCAAAAATTCATAACTTCGAAAATAAACAAGATATTTATATTCTGTCTTTTGCATGTATTACTGCAACTAATAAAGTTTTGTTTAGTACACTTCAACGTGCGCATCATTGGTGGCCCCAAGCACTTCCAGTCTGTAAGATAATTTGTAAGGTAAGTTGTAAAGATAATTTTGGAACACCCTGTATAATTGAATGATTTGTTACGTCAAGCGCTCAGGTATCATAATTTTGATGTAGTTGCGCTTCTATGTCATTTTGATTTATGCTGCAAGTTAACTTTCAAAAAATTCTATGGCTGGCAACGGCATTTATATTTTTTAAGTTGTTTATTTTTATTTCTTTTAGAATTCGTTCCTTTTTTAGCAAAATGTTTTTTAACCTAACAGAATTCTCTGCCGACTGTTCTCTCTATGAATGAGGAAAATAAAGTAAATGTTATTGCAATAATACTTCACAGCTCTTCTTAAATCTATTCTTAATTCTTAATCAGAAACACATCATTAAAAGGCAGAATGCTTTGGTGTTTTCAAAACGTAAACAAAACAAGCAAACGTTGCCACAGGTGGAAAAGAAATACAGCCAAAATTTGGGAGCCACGTAAGAGAATTATATATATTAGATTATGTTAGTTAATACATAATTATTTATTAAAGTATTATTAAATAATTATGTATAAACTAACATAATAAGTATTATAACCATATATAAATAACAAAATTATTACAAAATAATGACAAAACTGTCTAAATTGTTCTAAAGCATTAATTTCAAGACTTTTTTAAAAAAATATTATATTTTTAAAAAGAAATTCAATTAAATATGCACTGGTTACATTATAAAATTATTTGGCGTAAATTTGACAGAATTTGCTCCAATCTTCCTTCTCGTCAGGATTTTATACAAGTACCATAAATAAATTACAAAATTATCACAAAATAATGACAAAACTGTCTAAATTGTTCTAAAACATTAATTTCAAAGCTTTTTTTAAAAAAAATTATATTTTTTTAAAAAAAAAAATCAATTAAATATGCACCGGTTACATTATAAAATTATTTGGCGTAAATTTGACAGAATTTGCGCCAACCCTTCTTCTCGTTGGGATTTTATACAAGTACCATAAATAAATAACCAAATTATTACAAAATAATGACAAAACTGTCTAAATTGTTCTAAAACATTAATTTCAAAGCTTTTTTTAAAAAAATATAATGTTTTTTTTAAAAAAATTCAATTAAATATGCACCGGTTACATTATAAAATTATTTGGCGTAAATTTGACAGNAGACGCTGTCAAGCTGTCTTAAAAATTAAGGGTTATCCTACTAAGTATTGATTGTGTAAGTATCACTTTAAAAAAAATGTAAATCTAAGATAGATCTTACTATTAATTGCATAACTTTTTTTGTAATACAGATATTGTAATACTGTATTTATTATTAAATTTTGCATTAAATTACCTTCAATTTGATATATAATCGTTTGTATTTAAGTGAAAATTAATATATTCTGCAAGCACACAATGTTGAAAAACATGAAACTTTCAAAAAGTGTCCACACTTTTGGCCACCACTGTACTTCAAGAACTGAGTAGCGTAAAATGCTTGAACAGAATTATAAAATTTGTTAATCTAAAAACAATTTTATGCAAAATGAAGTTTTTAATAATATTTTATTCAACAATAAAAAAAAGTTTTGAATTGTAAGGCATAAAAAATGATTTGACTTTATTGAGGAATGAAACTTCAAATGACTAAATGCAATCGGGTATTTGCACTCTAAAAAGAAGACAACTGATACCCACCCATGTGACCTCTCACGTCAGTGCCAGCAATCTTTGGCAGCTAAATGGCGTATTAAAGTTGAGCTACGTTTCTCTACTCAACTTAGAATGTTAATTAACATGAAGTTAATTAAATATAGAGCTGTATCACACATCGAATTGGTTGAAATATAATTCTTTCTCGTCTGCTTTTTTTTAAAACTTAGATTTATTATTTGTTTATATGCATTTAATTGTAACCGTGATATAATTTTTGTTTTGTGTACCTGGCAACTTCGATGCATAATAAGTCTGCTTATGTTCTACATGGCTTCGTGCCTGTCTTTGTGTTAAGTGTTTGTGTAAATATATGGTGAAAGAATTAGAAATCTTTGTGAAAGAATACTGGCTGTATTACTTAAGAGAATTGGTTCTTGGCGAGATTCGCTTACTCGAAATAAAATGAAAAGGACAGTTGCTAATGTAAAAAAATTGCACGTTTCAACAACCAATCAGGATCGAGATATCCACACTACGTCACTTGCAGGTATCCCATTAATCATCAGCTCCTTTCTGCAGATAAAAATTTTGGGCCCATTGAAATAACGTCATGTACTTTAACTGGAACGGTTGTCAAAAAGAAGAAAAAAAAGTACCTTTGTAATATTTTTAAAAGAGTATTATTGAATAATAAATAATAAATACTTGTAATATTAGTAAAATACTTGTAATATTAATACACCATTACAACATTTTTATTAACTAGTAAGAATTTTGCTGTTAAAATTTCGACCTCTTTCCAATTAGTTGAAACACTCAAATCTTTACTAAAGTTCCATAAGTTGTGACAATAAAAGTTTTAATTGTTCACTGAGAAGCGGTGATGGCTCAGGGGAGAGAGCGTTCGCTTTCAAATGAGGTGAACCGGGTTCGAATCCCAGCGATGCCCGGTCGATACGAATTCTGCATCCGGCTGGCACCGACCACAGTGCTGACGTAAAATATTCTCAGCGTTAGACGGATCATGGGTTAGAGTCCCCTTGCCGTCAGATTAACCGTGGGAGGGTGTAAGAGTTAAATAAAAGGTTTATTTGGTGCGTAATAAAGTAACGTAAAGTTATTTATGTATTGTTATTAAAATTGATAGATTGGGTTGCATAATTGGATATATCTCTGGATATAGTCATGATTAAAAATAGGTAAATGATTGAAACGTCGTGATAAATATAATTAAGGCCGAAAATATATAAAAGGTAAATTAAATTAAATTAAGGGGGATGTGATCGTTTAGGAAAGTGGTTTAAAATAAAGGTTAAGAAAAAAAAAATGTAAAAAGAAATCCCTCGATACGGACCAAAGTCCGCATCTCGGAGAACAAGAAAAAGTTAACCTGCCCGAAGGCTCCAGAAAAAAAAAATTAATTTTAAAAGCCTTAAAAATTCCTTAACTGGGGTAGACCAGAAAAACTACGACCAATTAAATTTAAAGAGGCGGAGAGTTTGAAATTTAAAGTAAAGAGATTGGTTAGTTAGCCCCCCTGAAATTAAAGGAAGAAAAAGAAAGGCGTGAAAAGAGGGGTTGGTTGACTTTCCCCACAGGAAGTGCGATGACCGCAACGACCATGAGAAAGGTCAACAAGAAAGTTAAAAATAAAATTGCCAAATTGAAAAAAGGAATAACGTTTAAAGAAAAATTAAAGGCTTAAGTAAAATTAGAAATTAATTTGTCACTTTACATTAAGTGTAAATGTGACAGAGGGTTTCGAGGTTTTCCTCTTCATGTAAAGCAAATGCGGGTTAGTTCTACCAAACATTCCTCCACGAAGGCAAATGTCTCCCAATACTTGATACAGAAGTTTTCTTGTCTTCTGTATTGGGTTCAAATTAAAAAGGCTGCGGAGTTGAACTTTAATCGTTGTAAATCCAAAAAAAAAATGGGTCAGTTGTTCAAGGAGGGATATAAAATAAAATAAAAATTGTTTACTGACCTACAAACAGAATTAATCGTTAACCAAAATTTTGATTATTTCTCGAGATTTTTCAAATCTTCACTTGGAACTGTGAGCCCGATGACAATACAGGTTAGAATTGTTTCCTGAATACTGTAAGCTAAAATTGTGGCCATTCATACGCCATATAGAATGAACTGTCAATTGAAATTTTCGACTACTTACAGACTAGCTAGAGTGATCACATTTCAACTGGATTTCTTTGCATGGTAACATTGTAAACGACAATTGTGTCTTAAATGTTGCCAGCAAAAGTTATAATAATTTTACGGTAATCGAAATTTTAGTCACTTTCTGGCAAAAATAAATATATAACCTCACTCATACTGAAAAATGGCGCTAAACAACATGATTTTTTACCAACAATGGAAAACTAAGTATCAAATACATGGTTGTTAACTTGATTAACCAGCTGCTTTTGTTTTTGTTAAATATAATGAATTTAAAGTATTATGTTAGTTTATACATAATTATTTATTAAAGTATTATTAAATAATTATGTATAAACTAACATAATAAGTATTATTAAAGTAGTATTTAATAAAGTATAAACTAATAAAGTATAAATTAATTAATTATTTAATAAAGTATTATTAAAGTATTATTTAATGAAGCATAAATAAATTAATTATTTAATAAAGTATTATTTATTAAAGTATTATTTTAGTTTATGTTTAGTTATTTTTGCAAATAAATTGTGGCACACATTTTTTTAATCGTATGTTCTAAAACATTAATTTTAAAACTTTTTTTCAAAAAAAATTAATTTTTTAAAAAAAAATTCAATTAAATATGCACTAGTTACATTATAAAATTATTTGGCGTAAATTTGTCAGAATTTGTGCCAACCTTCCTTCTCGTCAGGATTTTATACAAGTACCATAAATAAATAACAAAATTATTACAAAATAATGACAAAACTGTCTAAATTGTTCTAAAACATTAATTTGAAAACTTTTTTTTTAAAAAAAAGCTATTTTTTTAAAAAAATTCAATTAAATATGCACTGGTTACATTATAAAATTATTTGACGTAAATTTGTCAGAATTGGCGCCAACCATCCTTCCCGTCAGGATTTTATACAAGTACCATAAATAAATAACAAAATTATTACAAAATAATGACAAAACTGTCTAAATTGTTCTAAAACATTAATTTCAAAACTTTTTTTAAAAAAAATTAATTTTTAAAAAAAAAAATTCAATTAAATATGCGCTGGTTACATTATAAAATTATTTGGCGCAAATTTGTCAGAATTTGTGCCAACCTTCCTTCTCGTCAGGATTTTATACAAGTACCATAAATAAATAACAAAATTATTACAAAATAATGACAAAACTGTCTAAATTGTTCTAAAACATTAATTTGAAAACTTTTTTTAAAAAAAAAGCTTTTTTTTTTTAAATTCAATTAAATATGCGCTGGTTGCCTTATAAAATTATTTGGCGTAAATTTGACAGAATTTGCGCAAATCTTCCTTCTCGTCAGGATTTTATACAAGCACCATAAATAAATAAAAAAATTATTACAAAATAATGATAAAACTGTGTAAATTGTTTGAAAGCATTAATTTCAAAACTTTTTTTTTTAAAAAAAATTGTTTTTTTTTTTAAAAAAAAAAATTCTATTAAATATGCACTGGTTGCATTATAAAATTATTTGACGTAAATTTGTCAGAATTTGCGCCAACCTTCCTTCTCGTCAGGATTTTATACAAGTACCATAAATAAGAAACAAAATTATTACAAAATAGTGACAAAACTATCATTGTTTTCACCTTTAAAGTCTACTTGAAAGAGAGAAGAAAAACGTAATTTTGGAATTTTATTTATTTTTATCATATAAGTCTTATTAAAAACAAAATAAATGAAAGATAAAATAGTGAAATTAAAATAGAATAAAATAAAGGCACAGCGGTGGTTTGATTTAGAATAGAAATTGATATAAAATGGAATGGAATGCAAGGATAAATTTAGTTAATTGTTATTATTTTTATTTTCATGGTACTTACCTTCATTGAAAGGTTGTTCCTCGATATCATAGAGCCGTATTGAATGTAGATCAAAATGAATGAGCCACTCGAAGTTGTTGTCCATTTCTTCATCTAATTGGATAGGTTGTGTAGAACGAAAAGAAACAGAAGACAATGCTGGTACCATGTGATTCATGCTTCCTTCAGCCAGCAGATGCTTCCTTAATTTTATAACTGTTGGCTTATGAGGTCGTCGGTCCATAGGATCCCGCATTGTGAAACTTTCAATAATTATGAAAAGATTAAAAAAAAAAAAACTTTTTGTATCTTTTAGAGCTATCTGCTAAAATAGCCTTTTAAATTTTGCATCATTTAGTTAAAAAATTGCGTTAAACTTGAATCATTTAACTCAAAATTAATAATAAAGTATAATAAATTTTTTAATTTTTTCCTGTATATTAAAATTAGACAAATTTTCAAAAATAATCGCGTAATTGATCGAAGTGTGCATTTTAAATATGCTTTTGAATTATGAATTAAGTTCCTCAATATATATATATATATATATTAGCAATAGCAAAAATATGTCATGTGTTGCATTTCTAGAGATAAAGAGTGCAGTAACAAAATGGGAAAAATCTATCCTCATAATGCTTAGAATTGCACTGAAGAAAAAAAAAGAATTAATATGGAAAACTTTAATATAAATTACAAGACTTTTGTTTTTATTTTTTATTATTCATTAGAAATCAAATCAGTTTTATAAACAGCTGAATGGGCTACGGACTTACGGAACAAGAATTTTGCAAATATATACAAGCCTAATTTAGCAATGAAGGGATGTTTCTTCGCTTAATACCGCCAAAAGAATTATGATAGTTGTATTAAAATATATTTTAAAACATAAGAATCTCTTAAGTAAGTAAAATTTTAAAATAAATAAAAAAATACCTATAAAGCTGCTTTTGTTGATTCTTATTTCACTATCACTTCAGACCGGAATTAATTAAAAATTTATAATTAACGAGACTGCTCCAGATTTGATTAATCACTGTTTAATCATGCTGATGTTAACTAAGAAAATACTACTTACCAAACTTAACTTAATACTTGATGAAACTTTGAGACATATAGGACTAAAGTACCCGATACATTTTAGAGGTTAGTCAAAACTAATATAAATATAAGAATAAAATTAATCGTAATGCAAAAAGGTTAAATATTTCTTTGCACAATAATACCTTTCTAAGAGAAAATGTTCCAATTTACGTGTTTATTGTAAGAATATTTTTGTTTTATTATTTACAAATTTAAATAATATTTTAATCATAAAATTAAAAATACATATGCATTAAAAAAGTTTCGACTAAAATTCAAACGATATTTTTTTTAAAACTATCTTTCAGCAACATGGAAGTTTTATTCAATTATTTTATTCATTACGATTATAATTAGTATAAAATACTTTATTTGTTAAAAATTTTGAGCATTTTAATATTAAGTGTTTTCATGCATGCTTTAAGATTAATTAAAATGATTTAAAAGAACACTCAAACATAATATCTTCAGTTTTATAATTCGACAAATTTTTAGGCAATTAATTATATTATCGCTTGGTTTTGATTCTTTACGGATTTCAATGAACTTCTGTAAATATGTAATTTCTCTTGATGCTAAAATAAATACATGGTAATTTTCAAAGTGTCATCTCTAAGCGTTGACAATGATTTCAAGATGATGGAAACATCAGTAGACGTTACAGGTCGCCGCTAAGTTATAAATGCTGAATGAAGACCGGTATGGATGGTTGTCTGAATGTAAATAACAAGCTTCTTAAAACCTGAAATTTTTTTTAGAAAACTTTCCTTCGCTTATGTTATGATTACGAGGCGATGCGTGATCAGACCTAACATCGTTTTTCTAAGCTAAGAACTCCTCCCGCCACAAAGTCTGAGGCCGTCTGGTGCTATGGAAACAAGAATGGAGCACATTTTAGGGAGGGTAGCTTCACTCAAGGACTAACAAAACAGACAAATTAAAAATACACATGCAAATACAACACATCCAGACGAATGTCTGGTTGAGTTCTTATGTTAGACAAACTACATCCTAGTTTGATTATTGTGTTTTGAATTAATATTTACGCGTAATTTTACCATTCATAAGAGTTTTCTGTAAGTTATAAATTCTAAATAAATCGTGAGTCTACAAAAAATTTAAGAAAACTAGTATCACAACATAAATACAGTGTAAAGTTCGTCATGTTTTGAGTGTTATCCCTTATTTAGGTATGTTTGTGAAAAATAGCACCGTTTGTTACTTTTGGGGTAGCATCATAGCAAGCTTGCGGTGTCTGCCGAATTCCTTTGTTGTTTGTTTCGTTGAAAGTCAAATTGAAAGAACGCGTAATATTGATAACACTACAACTTCAGTCGGAAAAATCAATCTGTAGCAGTAACCCGGAAGTTTTACAGCAAATTTTAACCTCTAGGGCCATCTGTGCTTAGCTTTACACGGTTAACCATAACCATCGATTTTTGCTGTCAGTAACTACAGTATCGTTCACCCGAACTGTATCGTCAGCTAACTGCTGCCACGGATTCCGCTGTTTCAAGGCAAACCATGTACAGAAGTATGGGAAAATATTGGTCTAAATGCTCGCAGGTCTGCTGTCCGATTTGTTAAATGAGGTATTTTTCAAAGGTATAAAGGAGGTTGTTACTTAAATACGTCATTAGGTTGAAAAGGGTGCAAGTGAATACCTCAAAATTAACCTCAAATATACCTTAAATATACCTCCTGAGGTATATATGCATCAGCCTGAGGTGTTTAATTTTACATCTGTAACGAGGTAGGTATTTACTACTTTAAGGCGATTCATTTTCAACCTTAGGTTATTACCTATCAACCTGAAGTATATTTTTTAACATTTGTGAAAGTATTTATTCAACAATCTAAGGTTTTTCATTTAACCCTTCAGGTTATTGTAAATCTACCTCAGGTGTATTTTTTCACAGTTGGAAAGGTAATTATTTACTAATGTGAGGTATTATGTTCGGCCTCAGGTAATTATTTTTCGACCTCAAGTATAGATTTTTATGCTTGTAAAGGTATTTATTTATCAACCTATGGTTTGCTGTTTTATACTTCAGGTTGTTATAAATCAGCCTCAAGTGTATTTTTCGATAGTTGGATAGATTGATATTTGTGTACGTGAGGTGTTCGATGAGGTGTTAGGCTGTTATTTTTCAACCTCGGGTATAGATTTATATAGTTGTTGAGGTATTTATTTATCTACCTAAGGTGAGCAATTTTGCACTTTTGGTTATTATAAATCAACCTCAAGTGTATTTTCTGACACTTGGAAAGGTTATTTTTTATTAACGTCATGTGTTCCATGTTCTATTTTAGGTTATTATTTCGTAACCTCAAGTATATATTTTCGTATTTTTAGAAGTATTAATTTATCAACCTATAAGATGCGACATTTTACATTTCAGGCTTATATAGCTCAACCTAAAGTTATTTTTTTTAATACTTACGAAGGTAATAATTCCCAAACGTGAGGTGTTATACGGTCCACCTAGTTTCTTAATTTTTAACCTCACTATGTAAAGAATATAATATATATTGAGATATTATGTATATTATATGAAGAATAATATATATCATTACATTTCTTCACTAGTTGATCTTTATTTATTAACCTGAAGTTTTTAATATTAAACCATCGTCAGTAGTTGCTTCTTTTGTTAAGCTACAAAAGAAAGTTTGTAATGCATAATTCTTCTGTAATTTTAATGGATAAAATTAAATCATCTTGAAATAACACTTATCCGAATTCTACAGTTAAAAAAAATTATTTGTGGGAACTCATATTTTTAGAAGATAGTTGTCCAAGGTGCTTGAATTTTTAAAGCTATAAAACTGCAAATTTATATAATTAGTCAGCTGAAATTCAAATTACTTTTATTTAAAACTAAAATTTCATTTTTTCACAAACCAACAAGATTATTTTTAATATTGATTACGTCTATCTGTTGAAACTTGGAAGTATTGGAACCTAAAAGAAAAAAATAGGAATTAGTAAGAAAGTCATCTTTACAACAATAGTGGCATGTTTTAAATTATCAGAAATTGTTTTTCTCATGATTTAAATGAACTGGATGAAATTAATTTTCTTTTTAAGATAAATGGAATTCCATTTCTGCCATTTCTATTCAATTCTCGTAGCTAAAAAGCATGACAGGTACCACAGCCACAAAATGAAATACACTGAAGAAAGTACTACCATTAACAACCTTTACAGAAATTCAAATATATAATTCCTATCTTATTATGAAATCTTAACACTTTTTTGTTTCCCTATACATCTGGTATTATTATGGTACTTGTAAGTTTGATAATTGATTTTCTTTCTTACAAATCTTTAAACTGAATAAGCCTAGTCAATATATATTTTTAAACTTTTGTCAGACTTCATGAAACTAATAGCTTTTTTTATAAATTTTTGAAGCTGATTCTGAAAAGGACTTCTGTTATTGTCGATCACATCAGAGTTCTTTACAAGAAATAGTTATTTTAATATTTTTTTAATCAATGTAATCGAGAATCAACAATCGTTTAATAAATTAAAATTTTAAAGTTACGTATCAATTTTTAAGCATTTTTTTACACTCAGTCGAATAAAACTAATCAAAGCATTTGCTTTAATAATAATAAGGAGCATTTGCTTTAAAGTTGTGAGCAATTTTATGAGGGGAAAATGCCTAACAAGGGAAACTAGGGAAGTGTGACTCGCCAATTTCGAAATAAACTAGTGGGATGTATGCCTTATGAGGAATAATTTTAGGGGGCAACATTCGTTTCGGCCCATAGAAGGTCCT